ACGGTGTGCACAGCTCTGAAAGCTCTAAGTGAGATTTTTATAGGATTTTTCAGCAAATGGAAAGGTAAGCAGGCATTTTTAAAGAAGAACTCTAGGCACATATTTAATTAACCCTTACAGTGGGGCTCCGATCCTCTAAACTGGCAGGGCACCCTCCAAGCCTGTCTCCTCCTGCTGCCACCTCGTCCTATACACTGTATTGGACGTGATGACTTAGGATCCTTAGACTGCTGCAGCGAAGGAGAGGCTCTCCGAGGATCAAGTGAGTATAACTTTTTTTATTTTATTTATTACTCTAAGCCAAAAAGAGCTGTTAACCCTTGCAGTGCAGCAGTAGTCCCACTGCAAGGGTTAATAATATTTGTGCCTGGAGTTCTACTTTAAATTTTTTTTCAACTTATGCTATGTGAATGGGAAAATGTAACAAATAAGAATTGGGTGTTATCTCACTTTGACTGCAAAAGTGGAAATACACTTTAAAGTAGGTTTGTTGGTTAGTCCTTACCTCATTATTAATGTATCAGGTTATAATGTGTGCTGTATGATTCACTTATGAGGATTATGGAAGCAGGGGAGCTCAGACTAGTGTCCTATGCTGTGCGGTGCGATCTGTACAGATGTAACTGTATCTGGTTTACTGTCTTCTACTGTTCATTTTTAGGTAAATCTGTGTGTATTCGGGTAAATGGGGATGGTATCTGCTAAATGTTAATCACAGTGGAGTTAGTGTTACAGAAGTGTTATACTCGCCCCACCTGACTCCTCACACAGGCCAGTGCAGAGCAAGAAAAAATGACCAAGGATGACTATGTGAACACTATTTTTTTTGTTTTTTTTCTGTTACATTTTTAAAGATCTCTGAGCAAAACTTTTATTAACCCTTCTAGTGGGGCTACCTGCAAGGGTTAACTGCTCATTTTTTTATCGGGGACTAAAATAAAAAGTTATACTCACCTGAACCTTGGAGCCTGCCGGCTGTCACAGCGCTCCCTCCAGCCTCTCTCCTCCTATACATCAGCGATGGTATGTCTCTCGGCGTCCCCACATCCAATACACTGTGTATAGATAGCGATTACTCGAGGATCCTTAGACAGCTGCAGCAGAGGGAAAGTCGGGCTGGAAGAGCAAGTCTGTTCAGAGCATAAGTTAAGCCTTGCAGTGTGGAGGTAGCCCCACTCCAAGGGCTAATTAAAATTTTGCCCAGAGTTCTGCTTTAATCAAAGTTGAGTAAGCATTACAGCAGTGTAAAGGTGGCCATACACCTTACGATTATCGTACGAAACTTTTCGTCCGATGATCGAACCGTCGCACGATTGTCGTACGCCGGCCCCATCATGCCCCGATTATGGCAAGGTTCAATCAGCCTTAATTAAAGAAAAGCACCTGGACGAATTGCGGTAATCGACCGCACGTATTTTCGTTTGCGCATGAGCAGTGTAGATCGTACGATTTTTGACGTACGGAAACGCCACTAACCTTGCGAAAATCATACGATCGGCCAAAGTTTTCAAACCTGCTTGAAAGTCAAAAGTCGTACAATTGTACAGTATTTGCGGTTGTACACTGCCCATCAACCTTGCGATTATCGGACGAAAACACGATTGCATATGATTATCGGACGATAATCGTAAGGTGTATGGGCATCTTTATACTCGCCCCACCTGATTACTCACACATGCCAGTCAGTGAAGAGCAAGATAAATGGCCAAAGATGGTCAGGTGACCTTTCCTAATTTATTTATTTCTATACATTTAAGATGAAAAATGTAATATAAATATTAAGGGAAGAAGCCTGCACAACATGGGGGGTGGGGGTGAGGATAAAATATAGATTGCTGCAGACTGGAGTTCTGCTTTCACCATTTTAACATAAGCAGTTCAAAGATCACCTCTGTGATCTGCCTTTAAGTGACAGTAAATTCAATTTAACAACGGCATAGTACTTCTGAAGAAAGTCCAAATTCGACAGCTGCTACTACCTCTGCTGTGATAGAGAACTTGGCCCAGCTGTCATTTTTATAGCACAGATTCACTGGCAAGAGTGGCTGGGGGGAGTATCAGCACTGGATTGAAGGTTAGTACTACAGCACATGCGTCTTCTTTTATTTGGCAGGTCTTTTAGTTTTTATTGATTTTTATTTTTCCTAATTTGAATAGGTTCCCTTTAATTTAGTAAAAGCCTGTTGTGGGTTGTATTTATCAGATATTCAAATCCTGACCCGTTCTCTAAATGGAAGGATTTCTCTGTCTTCTTGTGTTTGCAGAGATGTACCCCAAATGTGTGTGTGTGTGTGTGTGTGTGTGTGTGCGTACGACATAAATCTGTTATTTTTTTCAGATGGCCACCTGAGGGATCCGGGCTCGGAATATGTGCACTGGCTGGTGTAAGTACCCCATATAATATATTGTAAGGTAATAAAGCTTTATTTCTGCGTTTTGGTTCTCCCCATTTGTGAATATGTGACATTTTCTTTCAGAGGAAACATTCCTGGCAACCAGGTGCTTTCTGGAGATGAGATCTGTCACTACTTCCCCCCATTCCCTGCTAAAGGCACTGGTTACCATAGACATATATTTATCTTGTTTAAGCAAGAGGAACGCATCGATTATACAGAAGAGATGCGACCAAACCCATGGTAAGATTTATTTGTCATCAATAAATTGGTACCTTTTGGACCTGGGAGTCAAAGCACTGGCTCTATTTCCCTTGTTCCAGGGTCTCCTCTTTTCAGGTGCTATGTATAGAAAGTGCCAGTGGAGTGCTAGTTGCTTGTTTTGAAGGTGTACAGCAGAATGTAGAGAACTGTCTAACGGTGGTGAAACAGTCTACCCTGTATGCTGTACAGCCTCTAGTGTTGGGTAAGAAGGGTATTCCAAAACTTCTAATCTTAAACTGACTATAGATGGCCTATCATTTGCATCATGGGTTGCCCTGTTGGCGCCTCCTGGCTCCCAAAAAGTAGTTTGGAAAATCGAAGGAGTGAAAGATGGTAAATCGTCAGCCACATGGTGACTACAACCATTCATATCGCAGCAGATGACTGTCTGAATACATTAGCTGGCAAGGAAGATTCCTTCACCCATGCTGTTTAGTGTGGATGGGGGGGGTTGATTGAATTCTCTTGTTCAGCCCACATGTATGGCTAGTTTTACATTAAAGGCTTAATGGCTTAATAGTAAGAAGGAAGACTGTCTTGCAATGCGTTAATCCTTTTCCAAGGACAAGAAGTAATGATGGGATGGAGAAGAGAATAAAGGGTGGTAGGGGAAAGAATAGGGAGAGAAGGAAAGAAATTGTAATCTTTATGGTGGGTTGCTACATAAATGCAACTGTTCACCCACAATTGGGTAATGCTTGTCCTGTACAACCTAGAGACACCCCTTATCTAAGCACCATCGTAAAGGGAGGCCCCTCGAGAATCTGATGTTGGAAGCTTGTAGTTTTATGTGGGTCGCACTTTACTGATGGACAATCAAATGAACAAAACAAGAAGGCGTTTTGGTTTGAATTTAAGTAGCTCATTGCATGCCTTTCTGTCCCAGTGACAACCAAACCCACCATTTCTTGTACAGAGTGACAGCAAGTGGGGTTACAGACGGCAATAAAACCCTGGCAGAGTGTTAAAATAGAACAATGGCCTCCCAAAATATATTCTGCAGCACTTAATTATCAATGCATCTGCACTCACCCTTATCTCTTATTGATCCGGCCAGTGAAGTCCACCTAATGCAGCGTCCTGTGATGCTGCACTGCTCCTGAATTCAGAGCGGAGTTGCCACACTCACGTAGGCTTTGCCTGCTTACACTACAGTGGGATAGGAAGATGTTGCAGGGGGCATGTCTGTCAGCATTGTCACTGCTGATTCACAAGCTTATGGCCTGTCAGTCAGCACCAGGCCACACCCAGCCCTGCCCACTGCTTTCTGCATTTACAGCACTGCCTCTTCTGCTATAACCCTCCCACTGTGAGCTGCAGTGTCTGTGAGGGTGAGTGTATGAGAAAGGAGCATATTTGGCTTAGTCAGGGACAGTAAAGGATGCTTTCTGTTTCCTTTTGAGGCTCTGGTAATTGTTTAGACCAGCCTTACTCAACCAGGGTGCCGTGGTTGAGAAACGCGCTCGACTCTGATCAAGAGCCTTTCTCAACTCGACTCTGGTGTGAAACGTGGGGGTTTGAATGTTCCTTATGTAAAGGGGTAGTCTAATGTGAAAGGCGGGATTATGAATTGAAGGGGTACTCTGATGTAAGGGAGAGCCCCGTTTTTTTGTATTTTTGTGTGAGGTTCTCTTCCTTACCAGATCCATATCAGACCTCTATCTGGGATAAGGGTTGGGTATGCATTTTGGAGGGGCTGCAAAACATTTTTTACATTCATGTTTTATTCATTGCATTATATTCCTAAATTGGGGTGCTTTCAAATTTTTCAGTCACGGCCCCTTTAAAAGTATGCAAAAAGGGTGAAGAATGCTGGTTTAGGGCCCAGTTACACCATATCCAGTGCGTTCCGGTGCGGTTCGAGCCTGGAACCCACTGGATCGCATGCATCAAGCCGGGCCGCGTTGTGGGGTGGGAGGGGGTGTGGCGGTTCATGGCATTCATGTCAATGGCACTGCAGACACTGCCCCCGCCCGCATCAGAATGCGAGGTACCAGAATGCCTTCCGTTACGGTGCAGTGTTATTGAAAAAGATAGTGCATGCAGGAATCGCACTGTGGGCAGGGGGGAGTCTGCGGTGCCAGTGACATGAATGACACTACTACGCGGCCCGGCTTGATGTATGCGACCCAGTGCATTCTGTGCTCGCACCGCGCCGGATTGCACTGGATATGACGTGACAGGGCCCTTAGACTGTCATACCGGAGCCTTTAGTTGTATTTTAACTGTCTCCCATGCAAACCAAAAGAAAAAAGAATATGCAGAGTTAGGATGCAATTATTTTAATCTGTAGGGAATAAAGAATCATACATTCAGCTTGTTATGTCTAATTCTGAACTTTTTCCCCAGCCACAGTCTGAAGCTGAGAACTTTTAAGACCTTGGATTTCTATAGGAAGTATGAGCAGAAGATAACTCCGGGAGGTCTGGCTTTCTTCCAGTGCAAATGGGAAGATAGTGTTACTCAAGTGTTTCATCAATTACTAAGTAAGTAGAGCGTATAAGCTATCACTTGACACTTCCGACCAGACGTCCTTCTTCTGTTTCTTTACCCTGTACTCGCTGTATTATGCTCCACTTTTTATGGCGCCATCTTTCATGAATATGTCCTTTCCTTTTGTTCTTAATTTGTGGTTAATATGATTCTCATCTTTAGGTTTTAGATTCAGTTCACAAAGCTAACACACCAGGATAAGAATATTTATTTTACAGAAAGGCAACTGATATTTTCCCCCGAGTCCACTGAGATCAATAATTTACAGTCACATGACATGAGGGCTATCTCAACCCTAAAACAATCATTTACTAAAATATAGCCTTCCAGTTCCTAAATTTGATGGCTGCATTAGATTTCTTTTTTCAAGCTTTTTATTTTCACATAGTGATTCTGCCAGTAACACACTTCCAGTCCTAGGGTGACAACACTCACCATTCCCACCCACACCATTCTGGTTAGAGTAGTGAAGGGCTCAAATCGCATCCCCATCCCCTCTTCATTTCTTGACCATTCACAAAAAGCCTTGTTTTGTTCTCACAAGGCCTTCTATGATTGGACGACGAGAGGAGGAGGTGGGGATGTGACTTGAGCCTTTCACTACTGTAGCTGCATCTGCGCAAACTGTTGGCGCTATATAAATCCTGTATAATAATAGTAATAATCTCTGCCTCGCAGCACCTGGAAGCCCAGGACTATATGTCGGAGCCGGATGCTGCTGTGTAAGATGTTTATATTCTGAAGCAGCCCTTCACACATAGCATACACTTTATTACTGATAACACATAGTATGTAAAAGTAAATGTTCCCGGGTTCGGCTTTAAATAGCAACCCGGTTGGAGCAAAAATAAAGTGAATGTGCTCTTGTGTGTCCCCAGTCCCATGGTCACTGTCATTCACAGCAAGTGCATTTCACAACAAGCCACTTAGAACAGCTGAAGACTCGAGATCATTTGTTGACCTTTCTGGCTGATGCATTTTATGCTGGAACTGTATAGTACTAGAACAGAAGGTGAGGGGCAATCTTCCAGTGGGAACACCGGTTCAGTGACAGCTGTCTGAGGGCCCAGTCACACTACATCCAGTGCGTTCCGGCACGGTCCGAGCCCTGAAAGCAATGGATCACAAAGATCAGGCTGAGCTGCGTTATGGGGCGGGAGGGGGGCGTGGCGGTGCCATTCATGTGAATGGCATGCCCCCCACTCGCAGTGCGATCGCCCGCACTGGAATGCTAGGTACAGGAATGCCCTCTATTCTGGTGCAGTGTGACTGGAAAAATTGCTGCATGCACTATTTTTTCCAATCGCACTGCACCGGAAAGGAAGGCAATCCTGTACCTCGCGTTCCAGTGCGGGCAATCGCACAGCGGGTGGGGGGTGTGCCTGCGGTGCCATTGACATGAATGGCACCGCCACGCTCCCTCTCGCCCCAGAAGCCTGGCCTGAATTATGCGATCCAGTGTGTTCCGTGCTCGGACGGCGCCAAAACGCACTGGATATGGTATGACTGGGCCCTGAGGGGATTGAGGAATTACTTTGGAAAGCGTTCCACTCATTTCCTGTTATAACTCTGGGACAGGAAGTGAAGAAAAATCTCAACTGGGAAAACTCGACACAGTAAAAAAAATAAACAAATAGAGGTTCTAACCACCCCCCACTTTATCCAAAGTGAAATGAAAGTTTGTGGCAAGAGATACTTTAAAGACAGAAACCGTTTGGCCAGAAGCTTTTACAGATCTTGAAATAATAAATGGAGTATTTGAAGTATCCTTTTAGTAGAGGAACACTGCTGTCACATTGGGGGTTATTCTATGATATACTGTTAGCAGACCCTAGTGAGGCATTTTCCCATCATTCTCGCTTCCACTGATCTTCACAATGAATTGTATCTCATCAAATAATTTCCTTTTCTTTTCCTCTAGATATGAAGGAACCCATCTTTGCGCACCAGTTTCCTCCAGTCTATCATCCGCCACAGAAGAAATTTCCTTACAGTCAGCCCCTCAGATACTTGGACAGATACCGGGACTCAGACGAACCCACTTATGGAATTTATTGATACACATATGCTTCTCTGGAATAATTGCTTTTGTGCACATTAATGTCATGCACATTAACCCATAAAACGATTGCTGTTCTGCAGCATTCTCCGTGATTCTGTTATTTGAATTACCTTGTTATTTGTAATTGCAGCGCTGGATGTCTGTGGGAATCTAACATTATGGCTGTGTAAAGACATCAGTAGTATTTAAAGCTGAACTCCAGGGAAATAAAATGTTTCATTGTACTGGCTCTGCCCTACCAATACAAGGGTTAACTGCTTGTTTATACCTAGGGGACAGGAAATAGCGGTTTTACTTACCTGATTCCAGCTCCTGCCAGTTCCCTCTGGGCTGCTAGATTGCTTGCTGCAGCCTCTTTTTCCCTTGCTACGATAGTCGTGATCTCATCCATTGACCTGCATTAAGGTGGCCATACATTGTACGATTTGTGTTCCAAATTTTTCGTTTCTGGCATGAACCCTCGTTCGAATACACCTAGACTTCCCCCATCAAATCAAATGTCGATTTCGGAAATCGCTCGTTAGCCATACTAACCAGTTTTTGACGAACAGCGGAAATCATTTTCTTTTGCGCGTGTGCCGTGTTCTTGCTGAGATTTTTGACGAACGAGAGGAGTACTACGTCAGAGTGCTGTGAGGGTTTCTATTATAATAAATTGTTTTTTAATAAACATTTTTGAAGTGTTAGTAAAATAACATATTGAAAAAAGCCAAATGATTCAGTGTTAACAGAAAGCGTTGTCACAAACAAAAGGTACATCGACAGAGCCAGGTTATAACAATAGTATAAAATGTTAATTTGAAGTAATGTGGGAGCTCTATTACGTATATTAGGGGTGTGAGGATATGCCTGTGAGGAACCTCCATATACATAGTACATGTCCTTTCACCCACGATAATATATATACTTGCACATAAGCACCATAAGAGTGTCTATGCAACTAGGTTACTGCAGTTCTAGAGAGGGAGAAGTGAGAAAGGTAGTACCTGCAAGAGAAGAGAAAGGGGGGTAGATGTGTAAGAGATGGGGCTGAGGGTGGGTAGAGTAGAACCCTGGGGTGAGACAACCCTCCAGACCTTGGATGCTGAAGTGAATGCAATAGAGGTTAGCTTTAACCCTTTCACTGTCACCAGCTTTTGGCATAGGGCACCAGCAGTGGCCCTGTAAATGGACTCCCACCTGTTATAGCAGGCACGAGTCTGCTTACATGTTCAATTCCAAGCGTTGGCTTCACACTGGAAGTTATTACAGGATCCCAATGTCAAATGTGCCCCTTCACCTGGCCAAATCGTCCCCGACCAAGTATCCCGAGCTCCGCTGAGCCCAGGACCGGCATGGTGGGTGTGGACTACTAGAGGAGAGGGAGACCAGCAAACATCCATTCGCTGATCTCCCCTCCATGGAAAGATCCCGGAAGCAACAACGATTTTATGATTTCTGTTTTCAGAGCTGTTATTTCCCGGCCGCTGTGGCCGAGGGTGAAGCTGAACAAGCACAATGGACAATTATGGGTACCGCAGTTTTTTCCTATGTTACTGGTGTGCACAATTGTGAAGCTTGACATGTTTGGTGTCTATTTACTCGCCACAACGTCATCCTTTATAGTTTACTGAAATATAAAGGAAAACATTTTTACCTGGATATTATATTGTGTCCGCATGCACTAAAATTAGTTTAAAGGTCATTTTTTACGGAAAATTTGGATTATGATAAACAGTTACGCTAATATCGCGTGACATAAAAAATTGTAGCTGCCACCATTTTATTCTACAAGATCTCTAGATCTCTGCCTTCAGAAGATACTGTATATGATTCTGGAGGGGGTGGGGGGTGTTAGGTAATTTTCAGGCTTGAACAAAATATGCAAAAATGACTTTAGCAGTGAAAGGGTTAAAGGAAAGCTGTACTGAGAGAAAAAAGAGGCTATAGAAAGGAAGGTATCCTATAGCTCAATGAGGAATATCCACCTTCAATAAAACCACAAGGGATACCCTCCCTTCAAAAATATTTAGGTTAGGAGACTGTCAATACAGAGCTCCCTTCTACAAATGCTTTAGCTGCCTGCTGAACCGATTGCTTCTGTACTTTTCAAGGTGTAGATCTAGGAATAAGGGTCATTCACACGGGCCATACAGCGTGCACGTCTGAGCGGAGACCGGATTCCAGGAGGGACAGGAGCTGTGTGTGATTGCATGCAGCAGCCTGTAATTTACAACCTGTTACACACAAACCCGAACCCGCACGGCTCCAGGTGTCTGCATTTGGACGCAGACAATGCAGGCAACCAGACCCACACAGATGTGAACTTTCGGGTCTGCGTGTAACCGGGTGCAGCCATATCCTCCCATAGGTAGGTACAGGCTGCTGCACGCAATTACATGCAGAACCTGTCCCTGCCAGGAGCAGGTCTCTGCATGGGCGTGCACGTCCATACAGCGAATGTGAATAAGCCCTAATTTGTCTTAAAGTGCAGCAGAGTCACGGAAAAAAAAAACTTGACAATTCTGAAACAGTATCTCAGAATTTTAACCTCCCAGCCACTGTACATAAATAGTCAGTCTGCTTCCCCATTGTTCCAGGAGGATGTACCCACCTGTATGCGTGCTCCCCCCCGTCAGATAGTGGGGAGCATTGGATTCAGGCACAGAGCCGATCGGACCGGCTCTGTGCCTTGTGATTGGTTATCACAGTGACCGCATGGCAATGTTTACATCCACTTACATCAGAGGCAGGGGAGAGTACAAGAGCTAATCAATGGATCATTCATTCATTAGTTCCTGGTGAAAACAAGCTGCAGCAGCACAAAATAAGAATTTTACATTGTTTAACCCTTTCACCCCCTCTCCTTTCTTGTATATGTCAGCGCCACTCTGTCCCTACTCTGAGCAGTATATTAACCCCTTCACTTCCCTTATCCTGCACATCTACCTCTTCATCACCATCCTCCCACTGTATGTGACCTGTACATTAACCCCTTGACCTCCACCTGCCTCTGTGTATAACCTGTACCTTTAACCCTTTCGCTGCCAATGACATATGTCATATATCCCTGTTTACATGTGTAAAGCCGACTGTCGTTTGAGAATCCTCAATTTGCGCTCCAGTAGCTTCTCTGGAGTGGAAAGGTGACACTAGTGGTCTAATAGCATACTAGTGGTGACTGGTGCTCTATCACATAAGGGGGCTTGTATATTGAAAAAAAAAAAATTGGCTAATAATAAATGTTTCATAACATAACGTAGGGACAGTTGCGTCCCAAGGCTGGGTGTCACCCGGGGGCGGAGACCGGGTGACACCCCGCCGTGACGTTATCACGCATGCACGTGATGTCGCCGCACGTGCGGTGGTCTTTCTGACGCCTGCTGGTGGCCATCTTGGTGATGGAGCGCCGGCAGAGAGAGGAGGGGACGTTCACCCGGCGGGATAAGGTATGCCGCCGGGTCCCCTCCTCTCTCCTGACACTGTAGGGCTCTCGGTCCGTGACCGAGTGCCCGACATTTCATAAGGGGTGACACCAAAATGACTGCCAGTCATTTTGGTGTCACCCCTCCAATGGTGGTACCATGGTGCGGGCCGCACCCCGCTTGTGATGTCACTGCGTAGGGAAAACAGTTTTTTTTAAATGTTCTGTGCTTTTTTCTTTATATTGTAAAAAAAAACCCCAGTGGTGATTAAATACCACCAAAAGAAAGCTCGATCCGTTCCTAAAAAATTGATATAAAATTAATTACAATACAGCATTGTATGACATGTAATAAATGTCAGTCAAAGTACCGCAGCGCTGAATACTGAAAAATGGTCTGGACAGGAAGGGCTTCAAGTGGTTAAGGTACTTGAATGCATTTATTAAAATTAAATGCATGAGTTTAGTGTCACTTTAAGCTTTAAAAAAGAAAGATAGAAGCTGATTGGTTGCAATGGACAACTGCTCCAGTTTTGATCAATTCCCCTCAATGGGTTTTGGTTTGACTCAGATTTTCTGATCTGCATGATTGTTCCAGTTTAGTGTAATTATTGAAGGTGGAGACAGTCAGGCAATTACTATTCCTAGTAACTGCTTCAGCGTGGTAAGCCTACGTATTTCTCTCAGTGCGGGTTTCCTTTAAATACTGTTGCACTGCACGTCATGGCTGTCCTTCCTCCTGCCAGCACGTCATGGCTGTCCCTCCTCCTGCCAGCACGCCCTCTTCTTAGAATGACTATCAGTTTTGTTTCTGCAATTTTCTCCTTCACCTCTCGCTGTGCTTTCTTCCTCATATTCTGTGGCTGGTGTCTGTGTCCCCTCTTCTTACAATGTCTGAATCTCTGAAGGAGAATCTCAAGAACAGTCTGAGCTGCAGCATCTGCCTTGAACTGTTCACCAACCCTTTAACTCTTTCTTGTGGACACACTTTCTGCCAGACATGTATCCATGGGCACTGGGACTCCCTGCAACCTCAGCAGGATATCTTCTGTCCCGAGTGCAGGGTAGTCTTCCCCCAGCGACCAGAGCCCCAAAAAAACGTCAGTCTGCATAATGTTCTGGAGGATCTGAAAAAACTGGAGATCAAGAAGGTTCTGTTGGTGCCGATGCTCACAGAAAGTGGACCTAAGGGAGCTAGGACCGTATGTCAGGAGCATAATCAAGAATTAACTTTTTATTGCCTCACAGAGAAACGGTGCATATGCTGCAAGTGCTTGGCGAAAAGCTGCCGGGGTCACAACTTTGAGGATCTCGAGGAGCAAAGTGAGAAAGAGAAGGTGAGAAACAATTCCTGAAGCAAAAGCTCCAGCCTGAACCATGGACACGCTGTCCACAGTATGTATTTAGCCCCCGGGCTGCAGTGTACTTGGTTGCTTTGATGCAGTCAGCTACACATCATCCTTGGCTGCTATCATGCTGTTGGCTGCACAGCATCCTTGGTTGCTATGATGCTGTTGGCTGTACATCATCCTTGGCTGCTATCATGCTGTTGGCTGCACAGCATCCTTGGCTGCTATCATGCTGTTGGCTGTACAGCATCCTTGGCTGCTATGACACTGCCAGCTACAAAACATCCTTGGTTACTATGAGGCCATCGGCTGCACAGCATTTTTGGATGCTGGGAAGCTGAAGCTGTTGGCTGCAAAGCATCCTTGGTTGCTATGATGCTATCAGCTGCACAGCATCCTTGGTTGCTATGGCTTGTTGGCTGCAAAACATCATTGGTTGCTATTACAATGTTGCATAGTCTGCACAGCATCGGCGGGTGGGGGGCGTGGCTGCAGTGCCATTGAGTTCAATGCAGCGCCACGCCCCCTCCCGCCCCAAAACAAAGTGAGCCAGCCGTGTTGCGTTCCAGAAGCCGAACACACTGGAACGCACTCTTGATGGTGCGTTCCAGTGCGTTGGTGCGTTCTCAGAGTCATGCCTTACCGTGCACTGCACGAGCACAAGATTTACCATGCATTACTGTAACGTAAAGGTCTGAATGGTTGTACACGACATGAATTGTCAATTATTTCTCTTTCATGTTACAGAAAAAGCTTTCACGTGACTTTGAAGCCAACGGCCACAAGAAAGAGAACGTAGAAAAAGAGCTTGACGAATGGAAGGGTAAAAGTCAGAATATCAAGGTATGGAATGAGTAAGAAATGTTAGCTAAGTCGCTTGTTCATTGTTTCCAACTTAAAGGATATCTAAAACCATGATCAAAAATGTGATGTATTCCGGTCCAACCGGTACCAGTACAGAAGAAGACCTATTGATCCTGCCAGAATCCCTGTAGATTCCTTAACAAAGAACTCTGGGTCGAAATGATCTTAACCCATAGAGTGGGGCTACCCCTGCACTGCAAGGGTTAAGTGCTCGTTTCCTCTAGAAACGAAAATAACAGTTACACACGCCTGAACCTCAGAGATGACTGGCTGCTAGACTGGTCCCTACAGCCAGTCCCCTCTGCTCCAGCGATGGAATGCCCCTTGGCGTCCTCGCATCCAATACACTGTGTAGGGCATGATGACTCACGGGACCTTAGACTGCTGGAGTGGAGGGGGAGAGAGGCTGAAGAAACCAGTTTTGCAGCCAGCCAGCTCTGAGGTTCGGGTGAGTATACCTTTGTTATTTTCGCTCTTAGACTAAAGCGACCACTTCACCCTAGCAGTGCGAGGGGGGGGGGGGGGGGGGAGGGTAGCCCCACTGCAAGGGTTATGTTTTCTTCTGCCCCGATTTAACATTGTTAACAGCTTTTCCAGCTATCTACTGTAGACTACAACCCCCCTCCTCCATTGAGATGAGCAGAGGAGGAGGTGTTTCTAGTCCAAAAAAGCAGACCAGCCGAGGAGGACAACAATGCTCCTCCATAGAAACAGTACAGGGTCACCAGCTGAAAAAAAGGACTGCAGCCACCACATTTAAGGACTGTAATCCGAAATATTACATTTTGGTTTTGGTCTTAGATACAAAGAGATCCTGTGACTAGACCAGTGGCGTCACAAGGGGGGGGGGAACACAATATAGGTCATGGACCGAGAGCCCGACAGTGTCAGTGGAGAGGACCCGGCGGCATACCTCATCCCGCCGGGTGAACTTCCCCTCCTCTCTCTGTCGGCGTCCATCATGAAGATGGTCGCCGGCAGGCGTCAATTAGATGACCGCGCATGCACGATGATGTGACCGTGCATGCACGATAACGTCACGTCAGGGTGTCACCCGGTCTCCGCTCCAGGTGAAACCCAGTCTCGGGACGCCCCTGGACTAGACCATTATTTCAGCAGCAACGTTTCCATAAGATTCTATGAGCGTTTATGCAAATTATTTACCTGTCGTATTTACCTGAATCCTCCCGTGTGGAGACAACCAAAAAGTCTGAGATTAATACTGGGTGCCGCCATCTTGGATGTGATCTCACTCAAGTGACACTCAATAGCAGGGGTGGGTAAACTCTGGTCCTCCAGCTGTGGTGCAACTACAAATCCCATGAGACATTGCGAGACTCTGGCAGCCACAGGCATGACTCCCAGCGGCAGATGCATCATGGGATTTGTAGTTTCACCACAGCTGGAGGGCTGGAGTTTCCCCTTTGCTTCTCCCCCTGCAGCTGCTTGAAAGGTCATGTAAGAACTATGGGGAAAACAATTCTTAACCCTTGCAGTGGGGCTTCCCCCCGCACTGCAAGGGTTAAGTGCTCGTTTTTGTCATGAAGCAAAAATAAAAAAGTTATACTCACCCGATTCTAAGAGCGGGCTTGTTCTTAGACCGGTCCCTTCCGCCTCGCTCCCCCTCCGCTGCAGCGGTCTAAGGCCCAGTGAGCCATCACGTTCTATACACAGTATACTGTATAGGACGTGGGGACGCCAAGGGACATACAATCACTGCAGCAGAGCAGGAGACAGGCTGGAGGGAGCACGCTCACAGCCAGACGGATCCGAGGTTCAGGTGAGTATAACTTTATTATTTTTGAACCTAGACACAAATGAGCACTTAACCCTTGCAGTGCCAGAGTAGCAGAACCGTAGTAAGAATTTTTTCCCTAAAGCATTCTGCTTTAAAATACCTGATTTCTTTATGCTTTTATCTGCAATTTCTTTAACTTGGTGACAGGGTCTCTTTAGGTTTGGCCATTTATAAATATGTACATCACTGAGAGTGTCATTCCTGATCACACTGGTTGTAGGACTTCCACGATACCCTGGTTTCCAGAATGGTGACCAAGTTTGACCAAGTGCGGAAAACGTTGGAGGAATGTCAGACGCTGGTTGTAGAGTCTGTAAGGTGTAAAGAGAAAGCAGCATTGGCGCAGGTTTCCGACCATCTTCAGCTTCTGCAGCAACATCTTCAGGACCTAAACAAATATCACGTGGAGGCAGAACAGCTACTGGATGCCTGCACTAGCGATGCCGAACTTCTAGAGGTAAACCATTGTACCAGCCATTGTATGCAGAGCACTCCCCTTTTGTATTACCACAGAGGCAAAAACTAACACTAGCCAATCACAAATCTCGTTTCATTGATGTGATTCGAAAAATATCGTTATTGTTAAATGGTATCTATGGTCAAAATCTAAAACTAAATCTGTATTTCTGTATTGCATTTCCATAAGTCCTATCCCACTCCTAATAATCATATCCATCTAGAAGTGTGTAAACTTTAAGTTAAACTTTTATGGTTAAGTCTGGAACCATTTCACTCAGCCCTGTGAATATGCACTTCCCTGTGTCACTCTAGTACAGAGCCTGTCTTCTGACTTACAACTCAAGGTCTGAGCAATGTAACATTCTAATTCCTTGCTGGAAGTAATGCATGATGGGATATGTAGTCTTGAGATATTGAGATTGCATCAGCAGGGAAAGAGACGTAAAGCGCACTGGGAATCCAGGAAGTTGTTGGAAGTGATGGGCAGACAGAAGGCAGCACTCATTATATAAAAGGGATTTTATTAGGGATGCACCAATATCAGTCTTTCGGTATCGAGTACGAGTACTGACACCAAAATATTGGTACTCGTACTCGATACCGATGCTTCCGCTGACATGGAGCCGGCTTCCCAGAAGCCGGGCAGCGTGTAATGACATGCCGCCCAGCTTCCTGATTTCCCAGGAAGCCGGCTCCATGTTTGGTCGGCTCAATGCTGATTGGCTGGGAAACTGGCTTCCCAGCCAATCCGCATGGAGCTGGCTTTCTCGGGCAGTTATGAAGCCAGGCGGCGAGTAATGACCAGCCGTTCGGCCGGCTCGATGCTGATTGACCAGAAAGCCGGCTTCCCAGCCAATCATCATTGAGCCAACTGCTTCCCAGCCAATCAGCATCAAGCCGGCTTCCTGGCCAATTAGGAAGCCGGGAGTCGGGTCATTACTTGCTGCCCAACTTCCTGATTGCGTGGGAAGGCGGCTCCATGTTCCCCTATGGCATTGCCGATCAGAGGAAATCTTCTTACCGGAAGTTCCGGTATCGGGGAAAGTATCGGAGCACTTGGGCGAGTACAAGTACTAGCCCAAATACTCGGTACCAGCACCAATACCGGTACTAGTATCGGTATCGGTGCATCCCTAGATTTTATAAAGTAAGCTTTGATTGCATTATTAAAAGCAGTTATATTATTATTACAATTACAATGCTGATGGTATAACAGGATAGTATGTGCTGGGACTTTACAACTCCTTTAAGGGCCACCATTTGCCTTCACACCACAGTGTGGCCAATGTCATTGCCAATGTATGTGACGAATACCTCTGTTTTTAACTGCAATGAGTGTCGATCTCTTAATCCCTCCACTGGGCTCAGTGATTCCTCCTGCGGTCTTCCACATCACTTTAGAACACGGTGATGACATGGAGGTCAGAGGGAGGAACTACTAAGTGCAGTGGGGACTGTTGTGCAGCCGGAGAGGTAAGAATTTAAAGGAGAACTATGAGGTTCAATAGATCGGGAAGTGAGCGAACACATACCGTTGCTCGCTCACTTCTCGATCATGTCCCTGCGGAGAGCTGTGACTGTCACTCACGGCTCCTCGCAGGGTTTCCCCCCGTCCCCTGTCCGATCCTCCAGCGCTGACTGGCAGAACGGACGGGGGAGGGGGCGGGTCACAGCTGGCTCTGCCTCTAGATAGGCAGAGCCAGCTGTCGCTCATGCAGCTGTGTGGATCTATACAGTGGCGGTCTCAGTTTTCCCCCGAGCTGTAGCTTGCGATATACTGAGCTTTGGGTCACGGGAGGATACTAGTATATGTCCTCCCGTGACCCTTAGGAGAACTATGGGGAAAAAAACTTACCCCATAGTTGTCCTTTAATCCCTTCTTTTGCTGGCAGACCTTTTTAGCCTTTTTTTTTTAATTGATGGTGTCACATTAAAGTAAACCTGTCACAAGACATATAGGGGACCTTCCACCTACTTCTGAAAAATCGTTTCCTGGCAGTCATCTTGAACTATTGTCTTCCATACTTTCCGAGTCACTGACCTGGAACTTGTACACAGATCAGGAAAGTCAGGGAAAATCCGGAGTTCTTATCTGTTTACTTGTTCTGGATCAGTGACTCAAATGATTAAAGTAAGCAAGTCAACAGGCACTAAGAATTTTCAGAAGCAGAAGTCAGGAATGGCAGCCTTCGTGTTTTTGATGACAAGTTTCTGGTGGATTTTGATTTGTAATATTTCTGCGTCAGGGTAATCTTCAATTTCCATTAAAGTGGACCTTTACCCATATCTTTAAAATAACAATAAAGGCACCTTTAGAAATGTTTAGTAATGACAATCTACAAACACATACTTCTAGATAATTGTCGGCTTTGTATTCTTTGCATTCCTTATTTCTCTTTTCTTCCCCAGTCTTCTGACAGTGGTCATGTTTACTAAGGAAAGATTACTAGACCTGCCTTTACTTCCTGGAACTCTGACACATGTGACTAGGACATGTGACCACGCCTTTCTCTGAGATCTCATGAGATTACAGATGAGATTTCCCAGCAATGCTCTGCTGATGTAACCTTCCCAGGATGCAATGCTTGGGCCCATTATATCACTTGTGCCAGAACTGGACTAGGAAGTAGATGAACGCTATTTGTAAGCAAATGAAAAACAAGTTGGTTTAATTAATGAATGTAAGATGATTTTAAATCAACATGCAGAGTTGCATGCTGATGTGATTTGTAGTGAAAAGGGGTAATGGTCCACTTTAAGTACTTGGCACATCAACAATGCTCTTTGCACTTCCTTATTAATTAAAGTGAAGTGCCAGCAAGAACATTTATTTCAGTTTTAAATGGAATGGGGAAGTATTAGGTCCTCTTTCTTTTTTTGTTGCGGTCTCTTTACCCGTCACATCCTTACTGCAGAGACATAAGAGGAAGTGAGTGAAAGTTTTCCCAAAATGAAGGGAAATCCCACCTCTGATTGTGGTCACCAGAACAGGTGTCCCCATTGAAAGATATCCTTTCTAGTGTTGTTTACTATGAATTTTTGGATTCCTGTGCACTTTCCCTCCCTGTCACTATTGTCCTCAAAAGCCAGGACGATTGTTTTGGATAGATCGCCCCAAGGCACAGATAGTAATAAAAGCTTGACAGGTATTCTAACCCAGAATAGTCTCAACAGGTCACCGGCACACACACAGATGAATTCAATATCTCTTTGATATGTTTATTGAAAAATGTCACAGCATGGCGTTGACCTCGGGACCTCGCAGGGACCCTTCATCAGAGCGACATAGTGACCTGGTGTGCTGTGATAAAGGATCCCCACGAGGTCCCGAAACGCTAGCTTCAGCTTCTAATGACATGCGGTGACATTTTTCAATAAACATATCCAAGAGATATTGAATTCATCTGTGTGTGTGCCGGTGACCTGTTGAGACTATTCTGAGTTTTGCACGGCGCCATCCGTGTGATCACCAGAGCACCACCACCATTGGAAGGTTGCACATCGTAAGGAGTGAGGGTGGTTCTTGGAAACAAAGGTATTCTAACCCCATTCAATGCAAAACTAGAAAACCAAATCTTTTACTGTAATTATAATGTAGTTGCTAGTGCTCCCTCTAAGCTTTGGTGTTGGGAATAGAGCATCGCAACTTGTTACAGAGGTGAGCACTAAATGATTGTAGTGAACAGATCTGGCAACAAAGGTTCATGCCGACTATAGGTTTAGGCATGTGTGCTAACATCCATGCTGGGGGGAAAACCCCTGCAATATGGGTTCTGTGCCAAATAATGCCATTGACCATTTTTTAAAGGGAAAGTGTAATGTATATACCAGTAAGTAGATATTTTGAGCTATTATACCTTAAAGCCCAAGTCCAGACAGCAAAAAAAATATCCTTGGCCAAAAAAACAGCTTGCTTCTGCTCTCCTGTACCCCAAACCTGCTACTCTTCACTGCATGACCAGTCGCAGCTTTCCAGTGTCATCAAGTACATGAGGATGATGAAGATTCACCACACTGGGAGCACCAGAGAGAACCAGCTGCTTCATAGTCCCCATAGATAAAATTAGCATTTTACAAGTTCAGCTAAAAACTAAGAGAAATATAGTGGAATGGATACAAACAGGGACTTTTAAATAAACAATCGAAGGACAGGGGACTTCTATGGAACGTTATGTATTCCTGTGGTTGTGGTTGGGATGGCATTGTATAGTATGTTAAATGAAGGACAATGGTAAAGCAAATATGTGGCTACAAGGCTATGGAGAGCTATTGTGAAAGAGGTAGTGAAGGGTTAGGAAGAGGAGGGAATGGGGAGATGGGTGGGATGTCATTGGAGGGTGTTGGAAAGGTATGGGAGGAAGTGGGGAAGAAGCATGCTTGTATTATGAAGGGTACACTTCTCTATGTACTAGGGTTGGGCTACAGGGTGGTACCAGTTATCTCACATAAACTGCCCTGTGGGTCTATGGTATTGCCCAGAAAGTCTTCCACCTAATGAGAATGGGAAGGGTTTACCTAGAGTGTTGGAAGGAGTGGGGGAAAGGGTGTGGAGAAGGAGCAGCTCTTGGGCCAGGTGGAGAGGGTGACGTGAGTGGTGGGGGTGTTGGGATATGAGCTACATCACTAATCTCATATCAAAATATCACTCAAACAGTCCTCTCCACTCCTCCCAAGACTTCTTGCTGTCTAGACCCCTAACCACCTCTTCCTATGCTCACCTCCATGACTTCTCCAGAGCCACTCCCATCCTCTGCAACTTCATACTCCCACCTATACAACTATATCCTACTCTATCTGCCTTTAGGTGATCCCTGAAAATTCACCTCTTCAGAGAAGCCTATTTCACCTCCTCCTAAAAAAAACTGTACATCTATTCCTTCAATCAGCTTATTCCTGACCGTTATTATATTCTGTATCCCTGTCTCGTCCTCGTAGATTGTACACTCTCTTTGTATAATATTGTATTGTTTTTGTACTGTCTCTCTTTATGTTGTAAAGCACTGCACAAACTGTTGGCACTATATAAATCCTGCATAATAATAATGATGCATGTAGCAATAGCAAACTGTCATCTGTGTAGAGTTTAAATCTATATTAAGTCATCCTGTTGATGCCACAGGGTCTTCTACTTCTTGCCCCAGTTGGATGTGCTCCTATACCACCAGATGTTCAGCTCTGCGAAACAGTACAAATGGATGCAGTCACTAGAGTTCTGCCTGAAGTCACGCGACTACTTCAAGAGGAACTGCCCAATGCACTCCACCCTGTAGCGGCACAACCAGGTTAGTCTGAGGTCCCTCAAGGCTCAAGATACAAGCATCCTACTATGTTAGATCCAACACATGTCTCTCTCTTTTACAGAGATCTCAGGAAAACGTTCCAGTTTTGGAATAACAGAACCATGTTGTCCAACACAGACTTCAAGATCATTTCCTGTTAAACTAAAGACAGAACTAATTCCTGATCCCACTACCATGAGCTCCATCAGAGCCCAACTTTATCAAGGTATATTGTCAGTCTTTGACTAAAGTTGAGCATGGGCACATATTATACTTGAATTATACATTAAGAAAACATATTTTCCCAAATGAGAAGTTGGTGAGCTTCCATCAGCCAAAATGTGCATAGACTGGTGAAGAGTTTGTCTGTAACCCCATTGAGGAGATCATCTCAACTTCCTGTCCCAATGGCACCCATACAAAAAAAATGGGGAATGTGGGCATCAGTGCGACAGAAAGCCACAGACAAAAATTAAGACATTGTCAATTCTAACCTTGTAAGGTTTAAATCAGGGACCTCAATCAGTCCTGATAGTTGATTCATGCTTCTATAATGATCAAGATTGAGTTCTCCCTCAGCATTATGTCGATTGCTGCTCACTTTCCTTCCAATTCCACAGCACTGTTGTTCTTCACAAAGGCCCCATGGTCAAGTGAACTCACTTCCTGTTTCCCTCCATTTCCTGGCAACACCACTGCCTGTTTGGCCAACTTTTTGTCAGACTAGCTAGGCATTTATTATTAGCATTCATATATAGAAAACCCACCTACTGACCTCACTGGAGAAATGCAATGAACCCTTTCTTCCAGATGGTAGCTAAAATGTTATTCCATATTTGCTATAAGATAACTTAAATGGCCCTTACCAACACACGTATCCTGTAATCAAATGTCTTGCAGCAGTCATTTAATAAGAAGGTACAGCTAGTCAATACAGCAAGATCATAATAATTTATATACATTGGGGGGGATTTATCAAAATCTGGAGCAGCTGTGCACGGCAACCAATCAGCTTCTCTTTTTCGTTTTCAAATCTTAACTGAACAAACTGAAGAGAGAGGCTGATGGGATGCCATGGACAACTGCTCCAGATTTTGTCTGCTCCACTTTTGATAAATTCCCCCCACAATATTTCCAGGTATTTGTAGACACCTAAGCATCACACCTTTATGATCCTGTTGGACATTCCATTATATAACCATGGGCACTAACATGGAGTTGGGCCACTCTTTGGGGCTATAACAGCCTTCACTCCTCTGGGAAGGCTTTCCACAAGATTTTGCTGTGTTTCTGTGGGAATTTCTGTCCAGTCAGACAAAAGAGCATTTGTGAGGTCAGGTACTGAGGTGGAACAAGACGACCTGCCATGCAATTGGCATTACAATTCATCCCAAAGGTGTTCAATAGGGTTGAGAACACTTTTCTGTATAGACCACGCTAGCTCCTCCACACTAAACATATTAAACCATGTCTTTATGGACCTGGCTTTGTGCAACTGAACTAACAATTTGGAGGGATATCTACATCCTTTGGCCATAATGTGTAGGTATGACGGTCAAGTGTAGGTATGACATGTTGAAAAGTATATTTTGTTAATAGCAGTGTTAAAGTCGTATTCTACTCAAATGTTGAAGCTATATGGGCTGGAAGAGCTTAGTTTTTGCTTTCCTGGTAAAGGCAAGTTAATGCCTGTGATGCTCACATGATCAACAGCTTGGGTATTTGGTTTTGCAATCTCTTATGAAGGAGAGGATTGCATAAGATCATATGACCTAATGCCTAGGATTTTGGTCACATAGCCAGCAATTTAGTCATGTGGCCACTGCTAGAGCTAGCCTGGAGCGACATTTTCTGCAGGAAAGTCAAGTATTTTCAGTCTTCTATTACTCTTTATTCCTTTATCCTAGCAAGATAACCTTATGCTTACATTTGAGTATAAAGCCCCATTAATATAAAACTTGTACTGCAGTTCCATTGTATAACTATTGTTAAAGAAACCAATAAACTACAGCTGTAATATTACAGGTCTTGTTGACTTTCATAAAAATGAACCGCCACTTTTTCTGTGTTGAACTTTCAGAAGAATTGATGGCTGATACAATTACTACTGTAACTATTAACACTTTAGTGATCCATTGTGGCGCATTACCACACATTAAAGGAGAACTATGAGGTAAGTGTTTTTCCCCATAGTTCTCCTAAGGGTCACGGGAGGACATAAACTGCCGTCCTCCCATGACCCAAAGCTCAGTATATCGCGAGCTACAGCTTGCGGTATACTGAGTCCACCACAGCCGGGACGGATCCCGACATTACTGTCGAGCTCCATCCAGCTGCGTGATTGACAGCTGGCTCTGCCTATCTAGAGGCAGAGTCAGCTGTACCCGCCCCCTCCCCCGTCCGTTCCGCCAGTCAGCGCTGGAGGATTGGAGTGACAGTCACGGCTCTCTGCAGGGAGATGATCGAGAAGTAAGCGACGGTATGTGTTCGCTCACTTCCCAATCTATTGAGCCGACCTGTGACCGTTTTATTGTCACACGTCGGCTCGAACTATGAGGTTGAGTGAAAATCACTCACCTCATAGTTCTCCTTTAATGCACATTACTTTATGGTAGTACATTCATTATGAATGGGCTGCAAACACACTGCAACAGTCCAAAGAAAGAAAGTGACCTTTTATAGCAACACAATGCACCACGACGCACTTTATGCCCATTGTGGTGTGCTGCAACGCATTCTGTGTTGGGGCGCCAATGCCCATGCAGCGACACACAGGTGTGAATAGGGCCTCTGTACTGGCAAAGACGATTGACTAGAGATAACGAGTTAACCTAATGTTTTTATTGACCTAATGGACATCTTCTTGCTTCAATCTACAGATTACAGAAACCTGATGTTTGACCCAGAGACAGCCAACAGATACATTGAGATATCACATGAGAACTGTAAAGCCACTCACAAGACAAGCTTAAGACGTAATATTGTTCCTGAATCCCCCAAGAGATTTAAAACCTGGCAGGTGATGTGCATGGAAGGATTCTTGGAGGGAAGCCATTACTGGGAAGTGGAGATATCTACCTTTTTTGCGCAGATAGGAGTAGCCTATGGTTCCTTAAAACGTACCAAAGAAATAGAAAATGGTATTGGTAGGAACAGCCATTCATGGAGTCTGGAGTTGCGGAGCATGAGCCAGTCTGTCTGGCACAATAACAAGGACATTTTACTGAAGGCACCAGTGTACAATAGGATCGGTGTTCATTTGGACTGTGGAGCTGGAAGCATTACCTTCTATAGTATCAAAGATGGGGGTCTGCAAATTCTACATACTTTCCACAATGTTTTCTCAGAAAAACTGTACCCTGTATTTTGGCTTGGAGAAGATGTCAATGTCAAACTCCACCATGTGCAGAATAATCCTGAGGGTAATGTGACTAAATAATCTATCCATGCAAATATAGAACCATCTTGATGTGGTTCCTGGATCCACAACTTGGATTATCTATGCCATTGGGGCCTGAGGAGCCTCCCTTCCCCTCCCCCCCCCCCCCCCCCACTTCCTACTTGGATATCTTTCTTAATCTCTATCGTTCTCTCTCGGCCCCATACCTTATCTTTTTGGCTTCCTTCCCTCCTCCTGTCTTGTCTTCTTGTTCTTGTAGTTCCTGTGTGTTTCCCCTTACATTCTGTCTGCCTGATTACTGCCTACTTCCTTGGGGTGTAACACGGTCTTTTATCTCGATTCATACACTACTGAATCGAGACACAATCTACTGCTGACATTGTCTGACATTACTTCTGTGACCCACCCGCCGGTTCTGTACTTTACTCCTCCATATGGAATGTGATCGGCCCTAGTGGATTATGTGTTCTCTCAATACCAGTGCCTCATATTGGATCGTGTCTACCAGCATCTGTACCATGTTGTTCTCTGCTCTCTCTAATGGTTTTTATTTTTGTATTAAAAAGCTTAATAAAATCTGATTATTTAAAAAACTAAACATCTGTATTAAAAAGTATCATTTCTGCAGAGTCTTGGGACTATTTCACACCTCTGACTCAGAGGAATGGAGAGTGTTTAAAAGGTGTATTGCGTGCTTAAAGCCCAACTTTCACGCTCCCCACATAAATGACCCCCACCTCTTCCGGAAGCCCTCCAGTGTGTATGCAATATTTTTTAACATGCTTATCTTTTTATGATATCCTCTGAAAACTCATGTGTTGCCATTGATCCTCTTCTGATCTTCTCTAGCAGTGGGTGGTTTTCACAGATACAGAGAGACGCCCTGACTTAATGATGTCAATGCCATTATCTATATCGATATACAGTAATGCAGGGCACTGTGGTGACACCCCTTCAAGGGGCTGGCCCATGACACCCTCATTCACAGTAATATCTTCAAACTTCCGGGTCGAGTGATGCTGGGCTTTATTCAAGCCAGAAGATGAAAGACATCTTATGGTGGAAAAGAAATACTGCAGGAATTGCTCTGGATTGAAGGCAAGTGCTGGAGCTTTTTTATTTTAACTAATGTAGGGGAATTAATTAGGTCATATTTTTTCAATGTTGTCCCAAGCTGAAAGTAGGCTTTAAATGTGTCTACATACATACTAGAAAGATGCAACAAGCAGGACTTTTTTTTAACACGCTGCACCTAAAACGCAGAGGTACGGAGTGGTTCTTATGGCTTTCTCTACAATCTTTACAAAAACGGGTTGATAAATGATATTTATCCTATTTTACCAGCACAGTGGCAACATTAACACAGCAGAAAACCGTGGGCAGGGTTCCAACTAGGGATGAGCACGAGTTTGAACCCGGTCTGAACCTGATCTCCTCCCAACAAGGAAATGCCATCGGCCACTCGCCCAATCAGCTGCCCACTAGGGCATTCCCCGCCCCAAGAGCTGCACATTAAGAAAGGGGCGGGATGCTTTTGCTGGTGGCATTTACCTTGTATGATCACATGGCCATTTGGGTAAATGTCATACACCCAATATAGCCTGTGGCAATATAAGGTCAATAACATCACTGCACCCTCGACCTTTGTTCATGTGCAGCTGTGGATGGGGAATTCTTTTTAACTATTTTGGGGACCTAGTGCATACTCTTGACGAAAGAAAGCAGCCTTCTAGGCCCAGGACCATGATTTGTCACACATAACCATGTAGTCCAGCACTCAGCCAATACCTACCTCTTGTTGATGAGAGATGTCAAAGAAGATAGACCAGACTGGTTCAAGCCAACAGAAAGTCCATGGTAACTCAGATAAGAAACTGTGATAAGCAGAAATGCTTCTCAGAAGGCAGAGCACATTAAACTTTGAAGTGGATGGGCCATGAGGTGGATGAGCTACAACAGCAGAAGTCCATGTTGGGCTTCATTCGTGTTACCCTAGAACGGAAAGTAGTGGCGCTATATCCTTGCCAGCTTGAATTTTCATGACTCTAAGCCACATAGATATCCTGCAGTTGTTTGGACTGGCTGTGGCACATATATGTCTGTTGCAATCAATAAACAGTTGGTATTAAAGAGATTGAAACCTGTTAATAAAGCTGTGGCTTTGACCATCTAACCAAGAAGTTTGTGTTCAGTTTAATCTGTGGGAAAGGGGTGGGAAGGTAACTTGTTTAAAGTTAAATTAGTACACATTGATTTATGACCCTCAGCAGTCAAGCCGAGACTACACTGGGCACAGGCTCGCTGAACTGTTGAAGACTGGAAACAATGTAGCTTTGCCAGATGAATCTCAATTTCTGCTGAGGCGCAGAGATACCGGTAGTAAGTCAGTCACCAGATCTGAATCCCATAGGACACTTTTGGGATGTGGTAGAACAGGAGATTCGAGGCATGAATGTGCAGATGACAAATTGGCAAAATTGTACCGTGTTTCCCCACAAATAAGACACTGTCATATTTTTTTCCCCCCGAAAAATCACACTAGGTCTTATTTTCGGGGGATGTCTTATTTTAACCTCTTGCCGTCCGCCCGTAGTAAAAAAACGGACGGACGGCACTGCAGCATCTGCGGGTTGCCGTCTCCAGACGGCAATTTTTTTCTGCTCGCGCGCGCCCCCTAGCGGGCACGCACGGGCAGAAAAGACCCGCTAAATGCACACACCCGTTACCGGGTGTTTCACATATAGGCGATCGGCATTGAGGCGACAGGTGTCTGCTGATTTCGTGACAGGAGCGGCAGGGGCGGCATGCGCAGCGGTTAGTCCCCGCCATGTACTCTGGTTGCTCTCTGGGCCACCCCCAAACTAGGTCTTATTTTGATTTAAATTAACATTTTTATTAACCACTTGCCATCCGGGGCATTTTCCTACTATTTGCGCACACATGATAAAATATACATGTTTGGCTAGAAAACAGCTTCAGACCCCCAACAATTCTATATTTTCTGAAAGCTGAGGCCCTGTAGAATAAAAAAATGCTAGGTGCAATTTTGTACGTCGCACAGTTTTTGCGCAAATGTTTATCAAACCAGTATTTTTAGGAAAAAATAAACTAAATTAAAATTTAGTGCACAGAAACCTAATATAATACCCAATTTTTTGGTAAAATATGAAAGACGGGATCACATCGGGTAAATAGATACCAAACATGTCAGGCCTTAAAATTGCGTTCGCCCGTGAAGCCGCAAAAAAGTAAATACCCCAAATTTCCCATAGGGAAGATTTTAAACACTTTTACCGCTCATCAGTTTAGTGCTAACAGTCAATGACAGTGCTAGAATTATTGCTCCCGCTCCGAAGTTCGTGGCGATATGTAACATGTGTAGCGCAATTGTCATTTTCGCATGTAGGCGCACCGACGCGTGTTTGCGTGTGTATGTGCGTGCACGTGGGGGACAGGGGTCTTAAAAAAATATTTTTTCCATTTTATAATTTTTCTTTTATGTTACTTTCATTTTTAAAACTTTTTAACACTTTATTTTTTTTCCCCACTAACCCTATTGCTATTACATAGGGAGCTAACAATCACCCTAATAGCAGATAGGCTGTGACAGGTCCTCTTTATGGAGACATCAGGGGTCTTGCAGAACCCTAATGTCACCTAGGAACCCCAAAGAAGCTGAGGAAGCAGAGATGTGCTTCCCCAGCTTCATCTCCTGGCTCTAAGAGCCGGAGACTGTGTACAGTGACACAGTCACTGTACTGGAAGCCGCTTAATCTCTCTCTAGTCACTACGGGGAGACCCGCCGAGCCGCTCCTGGGCGCCATTCTTGTTTTCACCACTTCAAAGGGCCGCCGTCTATCGACGTATTGCGGCCCGGAAATGGTTAAAGACCTTTTATTTTCTATAATGTTGAACGCCACCCATAAAGATTTATGTACACACACACTGGTCCAGCTTCTCCAAATGTAAGTATAGATATTTTATACCTGGTAGCACCACAGGGATCCCAGAGAGCACTGCAGTGACTGTAGCTACTACGGTGTAATTCAGTGTCTTCAGGGCCCTGCACGGCCTCTGTGCTGAGTGACTTCCTCAGTTGCTCGCTCAGCACATCAGCCATTCAGAGAACATCTAGTATTTTTATCAGTGAATACTGTGTTCTCTGATTGGGTGAGCACCACCCTTTGTCCAAAACACCAATTATTAATTCATAAAAATTCCAACCAATCAGCTGCAGTCACTGTTAGGGTATTCTGACAGCAGTGGGTGCAGGGATTCCCCCATACATGCTGTTTAGTGTGAATGGGGGAATGGAGCAAGTTCAGTGTATGGCCGACAGCCTCAGGCCTCGTTTAGATGGGCTTCACAACCATCTGAAAAGAGACCCGCGGTGATACTGCCACTTCCTGAATGCCTTTTTTGGGGGAATCTCAAGGGGGAATTTTCCTTGAATAACTGCGCTGCAACCATGTTTGCCACACGGTTGAGTTGCAGTCCCATTCATATCTATGGTAGTGTGTGGCAGGTGACAGTGCCTGCCAAACGCAACATGCTGTTTAATTTTAGCTGCAGCAATGATTTTACCGCCTCTCAGCCACCCGTGTAAACACGGCTTTAGTCTAGGAGGTGGTGTCATGTAGCGTACCTGCCTTGTTTCTCAGTTCCATTGCAGCCAATGATCTTCCTTGGTCCCATTTTACCCTTGACATGTAGTCCAACACCGCCCACAATCCTGAATATCGCCACCGCCATTAAATCAGCTCTTGGTGCCCAGCGTTTCCAATTTACAGCAGGGGTTGACTGGCAACTTTTAGCCCAGGGGGCAAGGACAACCCAGAGGCCCATGGTGCAGCAACTTGGCCCCCCTCCCGCTCTGCCTCTTCCCCCGCCCCTACCTGCTACTTTTGCCATCCCTGTAACAGTAGTGTGAAGGGTCGGGTGATGTGAGGACTCCTAATAAGTCCATTAAAGGGGCAACTGGCTGGGGGATGGTGCTCTCCTCCCACTGGGCTCCCTACATGGTTCTTGCTTTACTCCATGTCCGGTACTTATGTACTCTCAACCACTGTAGACTGCCGCTGGCTGTCTGGGCTTGTGAGCTGTGGGAGGAGCCAGGCAGCGTCAAAGTCAGTGTTCTATCATTTTTCTCGATCCCGCTCATTTTCTCGACTGTGTCACTTCCGGTCAGGGCCGTAGCTACCATGGGGCGAGTGAGGCAATCGCCTCAGGCGCAGGCTGAGAGGGGTCATAGCCAGGGCCGGGCCTAGCTGCACCCCCTTGCCATGGTGAACACAGGGCGCCATTGGCAACAGGGCGCCAGGTGGCCAACACAGTATAAATATGAAGAAGTCACTCGCACTCCAGCTCAAGTTCAGTCAATAGGTGGCCAACACAGCCGCAGCTCGGCAGGGAGAAGAGGTGCGGCACAGGCATCAGCTTCTCCTCGGATCCCCACTGCTCTCCCCCGCCTGAATGGGCAGAGGACTTTGTGTCCTCAATCTCTTTTTCTATTTCAAAAGAGGAATATCAGGGGTGTAAAAATAAAATAATAAAAAATATATTTAAAACACACACGCATGCGCGCCACCATCCCAGAGACGGGGCACATGATGTCCCATGACACGTGGGCTGGTATAACACGTCTGTTGGGGGGCACAATTTTCTGTTCTTGCCTCGGGCGCAAACAAGGCCAGCTACGGTTCTGCTTCTGGGGGAGCCAAGTCATCCGAATCAGTAGTTTTCCTGACCCCCTTTCTTCATGACATGCACACCTGGCAGTGACACAGTAGAGAAATGTATGAGTTGAGGAAAATTATAGCACACCGGTAGTCAGTGCTGTGCATGGCTGCTGCCACCCTGGTAGTTCTGCCACTAACTCCAAACTGTAGAGGGACTACAACTCTCAACACCTGAAGTTTCACATTACTCTTGGCTCCTACACAAGACATGATCTGGACTAAAGCAGGGGTGGGCAACTCAGGCCCTCCAACTGTGCTTTAACTACAAATCCCAGCATGCCTCTGCCAATGTGAGTCATACCTGTAACGATCAGTCTTGCAATGCCTCATGGGACTTGTAGTTCTACAACAGCTGGCGTTGCCCACCCCTTGATCTAGTGAGTAGAGCTGCAGAGAAGTGATGTGTCACCTATGGGCAGGTCTCTCTGTTACATAATGCCCCGGTATAAGGTCACACTGAGGGCTCACAATGACACCGGCTGTATTAATCATTGATGGGCTGACCGGGCATAAGTGTGACACGGTCACCGCACCTCTGGCTGTGCTCTCGCTGCTGCATTCACCGACCAATCAGCACACACGAGTGATGACAGAGGGGCGTGGCTGTCTGGTTGCTGCGAAACAGTATCAGTGCCTCGGTTCGCAGTTCCTGTGTGCGGAGAGGGAGGCGTGTCCCTCAGAATCCGCAACATGGCGCTGAACAGAAACCATTCGGATGGAGGGGGTGTCGTAGTGAATAATTGTGAGAGGTGAGCAAACGTCCTGTACGGGCACCTTGCTACCATTCATTTATCTCCAGACCCAGACCGCTCTGCCGAAGCTTCTGACATATCACTATGTAATTGGGGCGGGGCTTCACGAACTTGACAAACGGGCGGACCAATCAGGAAGCCGAAATTCTTCCTCGTTTTATCCTAACGGGCGCAGTAGTGCAGTGATGTAGCGCAGCATGTATGTAGCGCAGCATGGGTCGGTGCCTGGTATCTCTATGTTAGACAGGAAGGCCCAGATTCTGGATATTGGCCATTTTATCTGTATAATGCGTGCTGGTCATCTTTAGTCTTAAATGTGTGTGTTGAAAGCTGAAAGAATCAGAGTTGATCATTGCTGACCTTCTCCTGAATATGCTGTTTGCCTGGCTGTCTGAATCACTGACCTGGAACAAGTTCTGATTTTAAAGTGGACCTTTATTCCGAAAAATCCCTTTCCTTCATTGGATTCTTCCCCTTCCAGTGGCGTCACAAGGAGGTTGCGGGGGATGCAGCCAGCACCGGGTGACACCAAAATGACTGGCAATCATTTTGGTGTCACCCCCTCTTAAAAGTCATGGGCGGAGACACTGACAGCACCACTAGAGAGATGGGGGTATCCTGCCTGTATATCCCCTCCTCTCTCTGCTGGCCTGTGTCACCAAGATGGCCACCAGCAGTGGAGTAGATCGCCACGCTTGCCTGATGACATAACACCACGGACATCATAACCAATGTGCTGCTGCTATGTTGAGCAATGGCAGAAGGAGGTCAGCAATGGCAGCCTATACTTTCCCCACACGATACAAGTTTCCTATTATTGGAATACCATTCATATCATTTGCCGCCCCTCACAGGAGCTGACAATCTAATATAGATTTAGGGAGCAGTTCACACCAGTTCATTGCGTTGATGTGAGCTGCCCTGCACTGCAAAAAAAAGTAGAGCAGGCTCTTTTTTTAAACGCAACACGTGTTTATCGTAACGCACATCAACGCAACGCATATCAACGCAAGGCAAACCAACACCTTATACAGCTTAGTGTAAAAAAAAAAAAAAACAACGCAAGTAAACACACTTGTGTTGAGTCACATCCAACACACACATTTTGGTGTGAATGCTGTTCCATCAGCAGTATGTCAGCTCTCCGTACCCCACCTTAGCGGATACTGTGCACATCACATCTTAGTAGTGCATGTGATAGCGTGCGTTTAATGCAATGCTATCGTGTGAACAGGCCCTTCGAGTACACTGACATCAGCAACCTGGGTGATGCCAATCTTCCAGTGGAGGGAATCGGTGCCTCCTCCTGTCACTGGCTGCCCCAGACATATAACTCTAAGGATAGAAGAGGGCATAAAGGGCGATGCAGGGCCTGGCGCGATGCCAGCGGGGAATTACTACTTTGCCTTTAAAGGAGAAGTATTGGCTAAATAAAATATACTCTCCTCGCTGCATAGAGCCAGTGTGGGACTCTGCAGCTGTCTCATGCCAATGTTCTATCAAAAGCTCCAACTCATCGAAATCACCAACTACCTCACTGCCGGGTACTTGCAAGTTGGAGATTTCGACCAGACAGCGTTAGACTGCAAAACACAAAGACTGACAGCTCTGTACAGCTGCATTTTAACAATATTCTGCAGATGGCAAACTCGACGAGTATTCTGAAAACGCAATGCGCGCATGCTCACCGCAACTGTACAGAGCTCCAGTCTTTCTGAGCACCGGAAGTGAGGTAGTTGGAGATGTCGATGAGTTGGAGTTTTCGATAGAACACCGGCTCTGTATCAAGAGCCATGCAAAATGGGCTTCCAATGCACCCCAACAGATGCGCATCATCAACATGACCCTTTTTTTCTTAAAACGAAGTGCACCACATGGCATGCTGCACGCTGAGGTGGACTGTGCATTGGATTCTACTGTACAGTGTGATGGCATGCTGCACGCTGAGGTGGACTGTGCATTGCATTCTACTGTACAGTGTGATGGCATGCCATTCACAATGAACAGCACTGCAACACACCACACATAGAGCAGGTGCATTGACATGCGTTGTGGTAACGCATGTTAACATGTGTGTTTAGCGCACATTGCCGCAGCACAGAAGTGTGAATGGGCCCTCTAAGTCATTCAATAAGGGAAAAAATGTATTAGAAATGTAAAAATTAAAAAAGGGTCACTTTTTGCATACATTTTGCATCAAAAGAGGCCGCAGTAGGTTAAAAAAAATCTCCAGTTAGTCTTACCGTCAACGCTGTTTCTAAGGATCTTCCAGGACAGCAAGCCTACTTAGGTCGCTGTCCTGGAAGATGATTGGTAAAAAAAGGAAAACTAACACAAGCCTAACAAATGAAATAATAATATAAATGAATATTGATTGTAAGTGCCGTACATCTATTTTCTCCAATCATCTTCCAGGACAGCGACCTAAGTAGGCTTGCTGTCCTGGAAGATCCTTAGAAACACTGTTACCGGTAAGACTAACTGGAGATTTTCCTAAACTCAGGGTCAGTGTGAGAATGGAATTGTTATGTTTTTGTGGTGAGTGATTATAAACCTTGTATCTAGTGATTGTGTACTTTGCCCTGTAGCTCACTAGGACTGTTATGCACTTTGTAGAATCTCACGTCACTTTTGTTTTTCAGCGTTTTGATGTCCTACGACCATGTGGAGCTTACATTTAGTGACATGGCCAGCTCTTCGGATGCTTTTCGGGGGACTAAGAAAGGCACAATATTGCTGACCCCATACAGAGTAAGATCATGTGACTTATTTCCTCGTTGTCACCTGTGATACAAAAAGAGAACTCAGTCTGAACAGAAATCACAAAGTAGACTTACGGTCACTATACACGTTACAAACTACCTGTACAATCAGCTTTAGATTTACCAAAACGATGTAATATAATGTCTGTGAAGGTTCTCATTCATCCAGGTCATGGTATATCTGTAACAAATAAATCAAGGCAACTGGACTTCCTGTATTTTTCTTGACGACGTTTCGCTGGTCATCCGACTACCTTTCTTAATTCTGAATTGAGAAAGCTAGTCGGATGACCAGCGAAACCTCTTCAAGAAACTTACAGCAAGTCCAGTTGTCTTGATTTATTTTTCACAGATATGTAACATGATGACTTACCTCATCTAACCAATCAATTTGCATCCTGTCAGGTGGGCACTCGTATTACATAGTTGTTGGTAGATCTAAAGAAGATTGTACAATCATATTGTAACATTTGTGGTGAGCTTTATACAGACAGTTTGGAGAGTGATATCATTTATTGCAGGGGTAGGCAACCTCGGCACTACAAGTTGTGGCTCTGGGAGTTATAGCTTTGCAATGCCTCATGGGACTTGTAGGTGGCCACCCCTAAGGTAGACATTTGATGGCAGTTAGATATGAATGTGTGTTCTGACTGTCCTCACACATCAGTGTCTGGAGCTCTATAAAAGGGGACAACATATGCTTGGCCTGATGTAAATAAGGAGAAGAAAGTGAGAAAAGGAGCATTGATGGTGGATACTGCCACCTGGTGGGGGGGGGGGGGTAACAGTAGAAAACGTACCCTATCAGTTGTTCCCCCAGGTGACATCAGAAGGATCGGGAGCTTCCACAGACAGAGATTATCAATCAGGCTAAAAACTGTCATCTAATGTCTCTAAATAGCTGCAGGCTGTGAGCTGTTTTTGGGTAGATATTCCAAAAGTTCCTTATTTAAGGTGCCTGATTATCGTGCGATAATCGGCAGGTGTATGGAAGGCGTGCGACCGTTTCTACTGTACGGTCTTTTGTCTCCCGAGCACGCTTGAAAACCCGCCGAGAATCGTACGATTGTCGGCTGTTTAGTGGCGTTCTCGGGGGACAAATGCCCGGGGGACAAAGGCCCGCCCCTCAGCGGGCAAGTACGATCTGCCTGTCCAAGATGGGCAGATCGTACGTTATTTTAATGACCTTACAGCCATCGCATGACATAAGTCTTGCGATGGTTGTAAGGTGTATGGCCAGCTTTAGAGTGTATCTAAACCTGGCTATGCCACAGCTTCACTTTGCACTAAGTAGCAGCATTGGCAGCCTGCCATGGGCTCTCTTTCATTTGGCCATTGGGCTGCATATCAGGTTTATCAGATAGGCAGCTTATTGGCCAAGCGCAGGAGCTTGCACGGCTGGCTGACAGCGCTCCTGCTAATTGCGAGGCTCTGGCTTAGCTTTGAAAGGCTTTTACTGGCAGGATCTCCAGGTAAACTATGGAAACGATTCCCAAAAACTATTTGCTTAAAAAAAACTGTATATAGAGCAGCATGATGCCATATATACTGAGACATGGATTTGGGGTATATATATATTTTATTAGAGCAGTCTAGGTGAGTTTTGCTTGAAGACAGTCAGGTCATCATTGCAAAACCCATTAACCACCAGTGTCTATGGATGCCTTTAGAGTTGCTCCACTTTTCATAAGTCAAACCATGAGTGTCCCATCATGTATATTGAAGGGGCTCAAATGGAAATCCCGGCAAACAGCTAAGTACATGATTAGACTCTGGCAAGACTCTGACAGCCACGGGCATGAATGGCAAAGGCATGATGGAGTGCCGAGGTTGCCTACCCCTGATATAGGGGGTAAAGCCACTTCTTTCAAGAGTCTTATCAACCAGCACGCATGTTCCATAACAAATAACAAAGGAAGCTACCAATGTCATTGGCTTAATACCATCCAAAATATAACATATATCTCATTAAGTTTGACATCTGCATTGGCACAGGACAGAATGATGTTCTGGCTCCATTATTTATTAGATCGGGGCTATTCACAGAAGAGTGAAGGGTTTGGAGAAGAAAGGAGAAGGGAACTATCTAGGACAACACAGCTGATTTGGAAAAATTCTCCAATTCAGCTCACTTTCCAGTTCAGCTATGTTGTCCTAAATTGTTCCCTTCTCATGTCTTCTCCCCAGCTCTTCACCCTTTTGTGAATAACCCTGTAGATCTTTACAGACACGGCATCTCATGAAACTGATGAGGGGGCAATAATGAGTAGGTGTCTTCATCTTATATAGTGAATTGGTTAACTTTCCTTTTATGATGGGTCCGTTTGAGGGTAGCTCCTTCCAAGCTGCAGAGGGGACACGCCAGAACAGACAGCAATTAAAGAGAAGCTTCACTCCCCCTTGGATTTTTTCCGCTTACCTTTTGTGCAGCATTGTCCTCAAGGCACATACCTGGCAAGCAAATCCTGTGTTGTCCTGCTGCGATCCGCCGATACAGGTGACACAGCCTGGGTGCTACGCTGCCGCCTTGGTCCTCCTCAGTCATCGGGAGCCGGCTGCCTCTTCTGGGTTCAGAGAGCTGGCCAGCGATGACTGAGGAGGACCAAGATGGCAGCGTGGCCACCCACCTGCTGCTCTGTGTCCCTACTCTTGAATCCCCCTGGGATATGTGATGGGGATGTCCTAGGAGGCTGCAGGAGCAGGACAAATCATTCTCACCTATGTGAGAATGGCGGCGGGGAGGTGGGCCGAAAAAACCCGCAAACATTAAAACAATATCATTTTCTTTTACCACTTTATGTCAAATAGCGTAGAGGAGAGAACTTGCAGTGGGTTAGAGTACAATTTTAGAATGAAGGTCCGCTTTAAACATTCCCAGAGACGGAGAAGGCTATGAAGTGTAAGGATGGAAGAAGGGAGGGGGCTGTGCTAGGGAATTGACTCTTCCTGGATTAGTCACATTTTCAAGTTTAAAGACTCATTGCAAATGAATAAAAATCATTTATGGAGTGGAAACGACTGTAAGTAAGCATTTCAAATACTTGATTATCTGTTCTTGTTGGTGACAGGGTCTCTTTTTAAATTTGCAGATGATCTTTGTATCCAAAGGAAGGGATCCAATGCAGTCATTTATGATGCCTTTCTACATGTTAAAGGATTGTGAAATCAAGCAACCGGTTTTTGGTGCTAACTTCATCAAAGGGATTGTGAAAGCAGAACCTGGTGGTAAGAAGCACATTTATCATTTATAATTTTTGGGCAGCACTGGGGGTCCTGGTTCAAATCCTGGCCAGGTCACTATCAGCAAGGAGTTTGCATGTTCTCCCTGTGCTTGCGTGGGTTTCCTCCAGGTACTCCGGTTTCCTCCCACACTCCAAAGACATGCTGGTAGGTTAATTGGCTCCTCTCTAAAGGTGGCCCTCTATGTATGCATGTGAGATAGGGACCTTAGATTGTAAGCTCCTTGAGGGTAGGGACTGATATGAAAGTGCACTATGTAAAGCACTGTGTAAGCTGTCGGCGCTATATAAATACCAATAAAAAATAACCGTTATACTTAAACATGCAAAATGAGTAATTGGCCACATTCTGTACTTTTCATCCACAGGTGGCTGGGAAGGCACTGCCACATTTAAACTCAGTTTTCCAGCTGGGGGAGCCATTGAATTTGGACAGTATATGTTACAAGTGGCCTCTCAAGGTAAGCTGCATTTAAGTATAATGGGTGTACTGGGGACGGGTTAATCATTATTGTCTGGACCATCCCTGGTGAGATTTCCCCTCACTTCCTGTAGTATTGTGCTGTGCTGTGATATGTTCCAAGCGGAAACACTGACAAGTTGAGGAATTTACTAAAACTGACAGAATCTGGAGCAGTTGCCCATGGCAACCAATCAGCTTCTATCTTCAGTTTGTTTAGTTACGCTTTAAAAATGAAAGAGAGAAGCTGATTGGTTTCCGGGGATTCTGCCTGCTCCAGTTTTGATAAATTCCCCTGACCCTTTGCACTGTGCTCCACACAAACAGATATGGGTTCAGATTGCCATGCTAAGTCATTTGTCCGGATCAAAGTAACATTTGCTGTTGGGATTAGTATTGCCAATGTACATAGAAGTGATGTCTGTTTGTTTAGTTTAGCTTTGCCCTCACTTTGTGAAGAGATATCATTCTGCATTCTGGTTTTTCCATCGCAGCCGCAGGACAAGAAAATTTGCCTTGTTCCAGACGGGCTCAATTCACAGCACCGCGGTGCAGTGGTGTGCGCTGAACAAAAGAATGGCATGCGATACTTTTTCCAGGGCAGCGCAGTATGATGACAAGCGTATTGCACATTGCTATGCCTATAGAACTTAATAAAATGTCACTTGTGACAATTCAATAAAGTACTAACAAAAAAAGAGTGAACAGTGCAGCGCATCAGCACTGTGACAGCTAATGCTCACCAGCCGCTTTGCATTGTAGCGCAGCCGCTAGTGTGAATCCAGCCTTAGGGCCCAGTCACACCATATCCAGCGCATCTTGGTGCAGTTCGCGCCCTAGAACGCACTGTGTCGCATAGATCGGGGCGGGAGGGGGCGTGTCGGTGCAATTCATGTCAATGGCACCACAGACACGCCCCCCGCCCGCAGTGCGATTGCCCGCACCGGAACGCGAGGTACAGGAATGCCCTCGGTTCCAGTGCAGTGCGATGTGAAAAAATGCGGCATTCCTGTACCTCGCGTTCCAGTGCGGGCAAATCGCACTGCGGGCAGGGGGTCGTGTCATTGACATTAATGGCACCGACACACCTTTTCCCGCCCCAGAATGCAGCCCGGCCTGATCTATGCGACACAGTGCGTTCCGGGCATGAACTGCACCAAGATGCACTGGATATGGTGTGACTGGGCCCTCAGTCTTTGGAAGTGAGGAAATAAAAAAAACTCTGTAAGCTCCAAACTGACTGTAGCCCGGCTGCTGGTGTGAATGGGACCTCAGAGAGGCAGCAGCTTCAGATTCACCAGTAGGGGGGCGATAGAGGTGATTGCTTCAGGTTTCCTAAAAACGTAAATAATTAACCCCTTAATGTTGTATTTGTTGTTGTACCCATAGCGTGGCCCAGAAATAATAGGAGAAAGAGATGGCGAGTGCTCTACAGCTAGTGATCACTGCGATAGCCAGTCACGGGCTATCCCAGTGATCATGTGATTGGGAGCCGCTCCCCCTGGACTCTTTAATACGAGACCCAGAAGCTGATCGGTGACAACTTGGTTTCTGTGCTGGGGGTGCTCTATGAAGTGCATTTCCAGTACAAACAGAGGTACACGTATGCAATCTTACAAAAGAAGGCCCACCTCCATGAGGCCGTATATCTGCATACGCTCAGCGGGAAGAGGTTAATTATAAGGACTGCTTTGTGAAGGGATGGGAAACATCTGAAGGGGAGATTTCGTGTAGGGCAATTCCCTTTAAAGAAGAGCCACATGAGCCTATATGCAACAGATTCACTTTAATGCCATCCCCCTCAGCTTATCCTCACCTCTCCATACCTTCCCTGCTGTCCTGTCTCAATCCCCACCATCACTGACTGGGTGAGTTTCCAATTGCCAAGCATCAGGGCTAACCCACGGAAGGAATGGGCGTGAGTCACAAGCTAGCAAAATGTAGGTGAGTATAAACAGCTGTGGTGTTCGCATCTTAGGAGACGCTGTTACTTTGCCCATCCATGGCATAGTGACATTGTCTGTGTAAAGGGTCACCCCTCATCCACCGATGCTCACCGATACAAATCCAGGCATAGAGAAGCTTCATGGTCCACTTGGATGCACTACACCAGTTTGCCGGTGGACCACAGCAGGTCAACTATATTCACCCTTACTCCAAGTGGAGAGGCAATCAGACATGGGGGCCGTGTCAGGAAAGTGATATGCAGCACCATATCACCAAGAACATGAGGGCAACAGCCGCAGGTAATTGGTTGGGAAACATGTAACTCATGTTTTCCACCTCCAGAGCAGTCCTCCCCAGTGCTGCATGCACTGGGGAGGACTAGTGAACTTTCCTGACACGACCCCCATGCCTGATTGCCTCTCCACTTGGAGTAAGGGTGAATATAGTTGATCTACTGTGGTCCATCGTTCTACATTGGCATATATTCCGATTGGACCTCTTCATGATATACAGCCTTTGCCCCTCTGAAGAAGCCCAGTAGGGTGAAACATGTCGGGACTGTCTTGAATGAATGATCAATTATGCTGTATAAATGAATCATGCAATGTTAATATTGTATATGGACTAATTATGCGATGAAATAATCATGTTTTACAGAATGGAATTTGAATCACTAAATAATCATGTTATAATAATAAATGAATTTATGAATTTTTATGCATAGCAAGAGAGCTCCTAGTATTTCTTGAAAGCCCCTCCCCCTAGGGTCTTGGCACACCCTTGGGTGGAATTTATTCAAAGTAGCTACCAACATTCCATACAGTTGTCTGTCTTTGTAGCCCTCTGCAGTGCATAATATAGAAACCGTGTCTTCTAAGGTTTTAAGGAGCACAATAACCCCTGACACATGGTGAGGTGGTTCAGAAGCAACTAAAAAAAAATGGTGAAGCGCGTCACTTCCTCGCAAACCCAAAACAGGGATTTTGTCACCCTTTAAGAGAGTGGGAGGAGTCATGATTGACAAAAATGAAATGACCTGAGACTGGTGTAATTTCTAACCATTATTTTGTGTTGTGCAGCTTCAAGAGGAGGACCTCCAGGAGGTGCATTTCCTTTTATGCCTAATGGAGGCTATGGCTACCCACCTCCGGCAGCCAATGGCATCTATCCTTCCCCTCCTGCTGCGGCTGGGTACCCTTTTCCACCACCACCCAGTGGTGAGTATTTACTTTTCCTCTGTAACTGGCTGCATGTTTTACATATTCTAGACATTTATGCAATTATTTTTGTGAAATACTTCAGGAAAATAAGACCAGCCCCCTATATGCTATAGCTGACCGATAACAAGTATGTAACATGCTTGTTATCAGTCAGCTATAGTATATAAGGGTGCACTTGCCTTAACCACTTGATGACCGGGGTGTGTATACCCCCTTCCTGGCCAGGCCATTTTTCAGTGTTCAGGGCTGCGGTACTTTGACTGACATTTATTCCGTCATGCAACGCTGTACTGAAATGAATTTTATACCATTTTTTGGGGACAGATTAAGCTTTCTTTTGGTGGTATTTAATCACCACTGGGGTTTTATTTTTTTACTATATAATGAAAAAAGTACCGACAATGTGGGGGAAAAAACTGTTTTCCCTACGTTATGTTATAAAACAGTTATTATTACCCAAATTTTTGGCAAAATATAAAAGTCGGGGTTACGTCAGGTAAATAGACACCAAACATGTTAAGCTTTAAAATTGCGTGCGTCCGCGAACTCGCAAAAAATACCATACCCAAAATTGGACATAGGCCACGCTTTAAAAGCTTTTAGTGCTCATCAGTTTAGTGTTATCAGTGATTGATGTCCCTAGAATAATTGCTCTCACTGCGACGTTCCCGGCGATACGTAACATGTGCTGCAATCGTCAATGGATGCAATCGTCGTTTACGCACTTAGGTGCACTCAACGCATGTTTGCATGTGTATGTGGGGGGCGGGGGGACTTAAAAAAATGTTTTAGTTTTTTTATTACCTTTATATGTGACTTAATTTTTTCATATTTTTTTGGTAACTAATTCTTTTAAACATTTTTTTTTTCACGTAACTTTATTGCTATCACGTAGGGGACTAACAAGCCCCCTTTGTGATAGCTAATTTTCAGTAACAGGTCCCCGAGCACAGCGGAGCTCGGGATCGCCAGCACCGGGTGCGGCGGAGGGGGGGGGGCACACCCGCACGCTTATTACAAGCGATCAGGCATCTCTACAGACGCCCGAACGCTTGTATGTAAACAGCCATCGCTGGCTGCTTACAGTGCAGGCTGAATTCCCGTTTAAAACACCCACCCGCATTCAAGAAGCCGCTGTCCAGCCGTTTATTTACAATGGCCGGACAGCAGGTGGTTAAGGTAAAGATGGCTGCTGTAGGTGAAGTGCAAACTCCAGTCAGTATACTTTTCAGTTGGCTTGTGATAATGTCAGGACCGGGTGCAGACACTCCAGTAAGCGTATATAGTGGCAAGTGACTTCACCTACAGCAGCCACCTTTACCTTAAGGCAAGTGCATTTACAGGTACTCAGATGCTCCCAGGACGTAAACGATACACTCTGACTATATAATGTCACAGACGGGCCCCAGATACAGGGCAGAGGTACTGACTGGTGATGAAGGACACAACAAGAGTAATTACAAGGCTATGGTCAGGACTTGCAGGAGAGAGTATTCCAAGGACAGGCCAAGAGCAGGACTGGCAGCAGACCGAGTATTCCAGGGAAAGGCCAAGAGCAGGACTAGCAGCAGACCGAGTATTCCAGGGAAAGGCCAAGGTCAGGGCTGGCGATGGAGAGAGAGTGTTCCAGGGAAATGCCAAGGTCAGGACTGGCGATGGAGAGAGAGTGTTCCAGGGACAGGCCAAGAGCAGGACTGGTGATAGAGAGAGAGTATTCCAGGGACAGGCCAAGAGCAGGACTGGCAGCAGACCGAGTATTCCAGGGAAAGGCCAAGGTCAGGACTGGTGATAGAGAGAGAGTATTCCAGGGAAAGGCCAAGGTCAGGGCTGGCGATGGAGAGAGAGTGTTCCAGGGAAATGCCAAGGTCAGGACTGGCGATGGAGAGAGAGTGTTCCAGGGACAAGATACTGAGACAGGATGGGTAGCAAGCTACAGGGTACAAAGACAGGAACAGGATACAAGGTACAGGACAAGAAGTATTCAGAGTATTCAGGCTCCAGAAGGCAGAACTATTACAAGACTAGAGCCTTGGGCATGTGATGCTTAAATAAAGCAAAACTAACCAATCCCAAGGCTGGAAGGGTATGGCCAGGCTTGTTAGCCCGCAGCTGATGAAGTAGTCAGGAAAGGTGCTGAGGGGGTGTGACCAGGCTCATTATACACAGCTGATGAAGTAGTCAGGAAAGGTGGTGAGGGGGTGTGACCAGGCTCATTATACACAGCTGATGAAGTAGTCAGGGAAAGGTGCTGAGGGGGTGTGGCCAGGCTCATTATACACAGCTGAATAAGTAGTCAGGGAAAGGTGCTGAGGGAGTGTGACCAGGCTCATTCTACACAGCTGATGAAGTAGTCAGGGAAAGGTCCTGAGGGGGTGTGACCAAGGCTCATTCTACACAGCTGATGAAGTAGTCAGGGAAAGGTGCTGAGAGGGAGTGACCAGGCTCATTATACACAGCTAATGAAGTAGTCAGGGAAAGGTGCTGAGGGGGTGTGGCCAGGCTCATTATACACAGCTGATGAAGTAGTCAGGGAAAGATGCTGAGGGGGTGTGACCAAGGCTCGTTATACACAGCTGATGAAGTAGTCAGGGAAAGGTGCTGAGGGGGTGTGACCAAGGCTCGTTATACACAGCTGATGAAGTAGTCAGGGAAAGGTGCTGAGGGGGTGTGACCAAGGCTCGTTATACACAGGTGATGAAGTAGGCAGGGAAAGGTGCTGAGGGGGAGTGACCAAGGCTCGTTATACACAGGTGATGAAGTAGGCAGGGAAAGGTGCTGAGGGGGTGTGACCAAGGCTCATTCTACACAGCTAATGAAGTAGTCACTGAGGGTGCTGGGGGTGTGTGGCCAGGCTCATTATACACAGCTAATGAAGTAGTCAGGGAAAGTTGCTGAGGGGGTGTGGCCAGGCTTGTTAGCCCACTTCTAAAGAAGTCAGGGAAAGGTGCAGTAGCAGCAATCAACCATCAGGAGGCACTGGGAGGCTGCGACGGTTCAAAGGATCATGAGACGCTCTCCTAACAATTATATACTGATCCTGGAAGCTCTGAACTATATAGCAGTAAGCTCCAACGCTGCCCATGGTGTGCAGGCTCTGTACATGCTGAGGGTGTCTGCAGGTCTAATGACAAGCACTTCTGCTAAAGATGAAAAAACATTTAATAATCAGGGGTGTGGACATTTTTGAAAAAACTACTTGTCCAAGGACTAAAGCGGGGGCCGAATCTACTTGTCCCTCATGACAATCTACTTGTCCTGATACAAAAAAAATAATTTTAACCAAAACCGTCTTTAGCAGTGCTAAGAAACGCTTCTCATTGGTCAGTGCCGTCAGGTGACTGCGTTGACCAACGAGTGCTTGCAATTTGCGAGCAAAATTCAGAATACATGGAACAGGTACAGATAGTACACCCGTACTTGTGGACGGGAAGGACCGTTCGCCGAAAGGTAAGTATAGTGGGAGGGAGATTTGTGCGGGTAATTCTATTTTCCCAAATTACTTGGGAAAGTGAATTTACCCTTTAGGGTGGGTGCAGACTTGGGCAATCCTGGGACGTGCGATCGTGTGCGGTTGCATACAGCGGTTGCATCCGCATGTATGGGGTTACATCTGTGTGGCAATCGCTGAAAAAAAGGTAGCTGTACCTTTTTTCGCAACATGCACCACGCAGTGTTTTCAACCGTGATCATGTGGGATCGCCCAGGCAGTATTGCGGCGGGAAACCGTGTGATCTGCCTGGCGCGACTGGAGTGCCATTAGAAAATAATGGCACTGACAGCGTGATTGGCTGTCAGGACTGTGCTAGAACTCCTGTGATAGGAACGAGCAGCAGCCGCCGGGGACAGAGGCTGAGGGAGGTGACAGAGCCTGTCACAGCTCCACCGTCCGGCTCTGTCACTGCTCCACGCCCCCTCCTCCGTCCCCGCTGCTCCACGCCCCCTGTTCTCGGCACTCCATTCCCCCCGTCCTCGGCGCTCCACGCCCCCCGTTCTCGGCGCCCCCCGCTCTCAACGCTCCACGCCCCCGCTCTCGGCGCCGCTCAGTTAACAAAAAAAAAAACAGCCCTGCTACTTGTCCGTAGCAGGGCTAAAACACTGAAAAAAACACTTCCCCGGCGCCCGGAACTACATGTCCCGGGCGTCGGGCGATACGAATTCCACACCCCTGATAATATTCTGTGCAATAAATCCTCCAAGTACTCTATACTGCACAAGGTCATTGTGCTCTCTCATCACATTTTATTTGTAGATTTAATGCATCAGACAACAATAAAAACCTGTAACCGTTCTCTGCTGCTCTCTAAAACAACATATAAAGTTTTGGCAAGATTTTGGCTTCACCATTCAGTCATCTTTTATGAGAATACGCTAAACCAATAAAAAGTCATATCTATGATTCATTGTATTATGATTGTCCACCATTTAGAATCGCAATGCTCATCTGGTTTAATTCCATGTGTTTTGATTTCTCTGCTTACCTATATGATCTTGTAGAGTTTTATCCAGGACCTCCAATGCAAGACAGTTCGATGGCATACATGCATCCACCTCCTCCTCCCTACCCCGGGCCCAGGCAGCCCCCCTCAGCTTCTGCTCCTGACTTGCCTTCTACTCTAGCAGGTAAGATGTCATAGCCAGGGAAAACATACCCAAAAAGACAGTGTTCTTTTCTCCTATTGGAATGCTGCTATAAGGGTATTATTTAAAGCAGTGGTTCTCAACCTGTGTAACCTCAGGACCCACATTTGTCCAGGTATATGTAGTCTTTTCAATGTGTGTGTTGTTTTTATGTTCAGATTTACTTTAAATGCTTATGTTTGAGTTTATTTAACCATCTATTACCTATAAGAATCCAACAATATCAAACAAACAGTTTAAGCCCTGCTGCAGCAGGAACTTTATAAACCTCGACACGCGTAGGCTTTACCATCTTTGTGATCTTTGGACTTCTGCAAAGAAATTAAATATGCTTGTCTGCTAAACCTTGTGTGTGGCACTCGTGTTCTCCTACATCTTCTAGAAGCAGAAAACAAAGCATGATTTTGGGCTAAAAATCATTTACAGTCTAAACTGGTTAAAGCTTTCTCTATTTTTAAAAATAATGTCACTTTTTAATATCATTAAAGTAAATCTGTGATGAGAGCAGTATAGGGGCTGACTTCAATTCTGGTCACTAGCCCAGAACAAGTACGCTTTTCTGAAATATCACAACAAAGTCAGATGTCCTTGTCTGCATGTTGTTCTGGGTTAGAGACTACATGTATTGAAGCAACAAAATCAGTGTGACAGGTAGGGTGTCAACATTTACATAATGAAAGACAATTACAGCCTCCATTTTTCACACCATCTCCAATGCGTTCTGGCCCGGTTAGTGGCTGGACCGCACTGGATCGCATAGTGGAAGCCTCCCTTCATTCTGGGGCGGGAGGGGCAGTGTGCACCGCAAACACGCCCCCCGACCCCGCCCACAGTGCGATTGCACACACCAAAACGTACATGCACTATTTTTTGTGATCGCACTGGACCAAAACACAGGCATTGCTGTGCCGTGCGTTCTGGTGCAGGCAACAGAATGGCACTGCCACTCCCCCCTCCGGCCCAGAACGCAGGGAGGCTTCCACTATGCGATCCAGTGCGTTCCGGCCAATAACCGTGCCAAAACGCACTGGAGATGGTGTGAACCGGCCCACAAGGTTTCCTTGAATTTTTTCATCTGTTGAATAGTGGACATTTTCCTGATGGGAATTCTCATATACACTTGAATTATTTTGCTTACGCATATTTGCTTTTTTTTTCTGTAGCTGAAGCCAAGGCTGCGGAGGCAGCTGCCAGCGCATACAACAGTTCTAACCCTTCCAATTATTCCATGCAAATGGTAAGTCTATTACATTGACACTGATCATGGAAGTGATGGTGAACACACACCTGTCATTATGATCATTCTATCAAGTATTCAATGTGACTAAACTGATTGAATTAAATACAAATCCAGAACGAGAGACTCTCTGTGCTGGAGAGCCGATTGTAAAGGTGGCCATACACTGTACAACCATCGCAAGACCTTAGTCTTGCGATAGTTGTAAAGTACTTAAAAAAACGTACAATCTGCCCATCTTGGACAGGCAGATCGTACTCTCGATCATCGCAAGCCCGCCCCCCTGAGGGGCGGGCTTACGATGACTGTAATGAGGTGCGGGCTTACGGTGACTGCAAACGGGCAGTGTGCGCGTGCGCACACCGGCCCGTTCAGCAGTAGTCGAACCAGCAGGCCACTAACTCGCCGAGAATCGTACGATTCTCGGCAGGTTTTCTAGCATGCTGGTTCGACGGAAGACATGCAACCGTACAGTAGAAACGGTCGCACGACTTCCATACACTGCACGATTCTCGTACGATCGCGGGATTGCCAGCGATTCTCGTACGAGAATCGTGCAGTGTATGGGCACCTTTACACAGACCAATCAGATTCACCATTTATGTTTATAACTGAATGTTCATATTATAAATTGATATTTTCAATTGATCTTAAAGTTCGGAACAATACAGTGTGTGTTGCATAATTCAATATTTTAATTGATCATGAATTGCTTGTTAGCGATCTCTTGCACCTTGATCGATCACACAAATAAGAATGTGCCATTGCCAGTGGCGTCGCAAGGGGTTGTGGGGGTTGCAGCCCGCACCAGGTGACACCATCAGAGGGGGCTCTCTGAAAAGTCAGGCACACGGTCATGGACCAAGAGCCCAACGGTTGCACGAGAGAGGAGCAGACCCGGCGGCGTACCTTATCCTGCCGAGTGAACATCCCCTCCTCTGTTAGCTGCCGTCCATCACCAAGATGGCCACCGGCAGGTAAGCAGGACATCATTGCACATGTGTGTGATGGCTTTGCGCATGTGTTATGTCCCAGCAGGGTGTCACTCGACGGCTGCTCTCAGTGACACCATGGCTGGGGATAACAGACACCGGCACTCCAAGTAATGAATCAATGGCGTCTCATTATTGACGCATGAAACATAGTACAATGCATCAAAAAGCTTTCTGATGCATTGTGCTATGTTTCATGCGTCAATAAACAGGCGCCATTGAATCATTACTTGGAGTGCTGTGGTCTATGTTATCCTGTGATTATAGACGGTCGCCAACCATCGACTGCCGCAGCACCCATCTTTTATAAGGAACAGCGGTTTTGAGTGCGATGGGTTCATGGACTGTACCATGGCTGGGGACTCCCCTGCCCATTGCACTCCTGACCAGAATCCCATTTAAAATGCTTTGGTGGGTGCTGAAGTAGCCAGCGCTGCATAGGTCAACGTGTAGAAGGATAAGCCACCAGTACAAGAGAGGTCCACTTTATCTTCCTGTCTTTATAAACATGGTATCGCATATAGTTCAATGTTTCGGAACCTTATTTGGTCCCTTCATCAGGCAAAGCAAAGTGTGACCACAGTTTGCTTTGCCTGAATAAGGGACCACATAAGGTTCCATTTCATCTATATGCGATACCATGTTTATCTCACCACAATGAAGACGGAAAGATAAAGTGGACCTCTGTTGTGCTAGTGGCTTATCCTATACATTGATCGATCACAAATCGCAAAGTGTATGGCACATTAAGCAGTAGAGTACTCCATAGTGTAAATCATTTTCTTTTTCTTTAGGATTTTCCTCCACCACCTCCTTACTTTCCACCGGATGAAAAGAAAAACCAGTAAGAAGCCTTCTGTGCAGCTTTAACCAGGAACCAAGTTCCTGCCATTCCTTTATAGCTTCTTAACTAGAAGCCAGATTTCCAAAGACACTAATCCTGTAACATTCCTGGTGATGGTCTTTCTGCCAGTGAATGCCCATAGCTCATTAAAGCCCAACTCCAGGCTCAGCCTCCCTAGTGCCCTTCCCCCATGGAGCCAACCCAGATTAAACTGATTAGATTGTTTTTCTTTTTTTTAAATATCCTTATATTTTCAGATGTCTTCAGGCCAGTCATGTGACACGGTGGGTCATCTATTCCCGAGTGGTGGGCTGTCCTCAATGATGTGGAGAACGGTGTTGACATGATGACATCAGCTGCACTCTCTGCATTATTACACTGTGAATAAAGGGTGCTGCAGTGATGCCCCCTCAAGGGATGGACTCGTAACACCCTGCATTCATAGTATGTTTTGCAGATTGATGAGGCGGGTGTCATTCAACCCAAAAAGCTGAGAAAATCTTGTGGCAAAAATAAGGTAGTGGGGGGACAGTTCGGGGTTGGAGGCTTGTATTTCAGTGTTGTTAAGCGGTGGGGGGAGGGACCTTTTTGTAAATGGTAAATCTGGCCTGGAGTTGGGCTTTAGCACTTCTGACCGGCATATGATGGGCTCCTCTGGAACAGTAGCTTCTGTTCACCCCTAGACATCATCAGAAAGACCATTCTATGACCATTCTGTCTTGCACATCGGAATAATTGCAGACTGGACTGTACTGCGTCCTGCTACATCAAGCATGCACTCTTTTTCTTCTCTGTTATTTGATTGCTGTGTATATGCAAATAATAATTTAACATTTAATTTATTTTGAAGTTAAAGTAGAAATGTAATGTACATAATATATTAAACTAAACTAAAGATTTACTAAGCTGTCATGTCTTTTTTTTCTTTTAGCAACTTAAGTGTGCACATTGAATTTTTATAATTTATAAAATACAAATCCAGCTCTATAAAGACATGTTTTGATGAGTTTGGTGTGGAGGAACTTCAGTGGCTTGCATTGAGCCCTGATCTCAACTCTACTGAACATGTCTGGGATGAATTGGATAGCGAGGCAGGTCTTCTCATGCTACACTGCTACACCAGTAACTGACCTCATAAATACTTTTTTAGGGCACAAATTCCCACTGACATACTCAAAAAGCTTGTGAAAAGCCTTCCTAGAAGAGTGGAGTCTGTTATATCTGCAAGGGGGAGGGGGAGTCAACTCTATATTAATTCCAATGGTTTTAAAATGGAATGTCCGACAAGTTCATATAGATGTGATGGTCCGGTATTGACAAACTTTGGCCATATACAGTATTATACAGGTCAATTTGGAATGCTTTCTTATAGTTCCTGGCTTGCTATTTATATTTAGGTAATAAAGAACTTTTTGTCAAACTTTGGCAAAGGTCCATAGTTGGTAACCCGTTCTGAAGCAAAAGCTATTGAAATGTTAATGTTCCCAATATGAATAAACTATCACAGGAAAAAAAGCAGTTAAATGAACGGCTTCTCCATGTAACCAGACCTAAGTTCATCAGTAAAACCTTTCTGAAAAGTTATTATTACTTTTGCTAAAACAATGTTACTTTTCTTTAAATCACGTTTGTACCTTTGCTTGGGATTCAACACTTCTAGGAATGCCAACACATGGCACCTAATATTAGCCTCATGCTAGATGGAGAATGCCACTAGAGTGACAGCTCTGAGTCTTCTGGTTTAGCTGCTGCTGCATCCAAGATGGTGGCGCCCAGCAGACGTTTCAGACTTTCTGTCTAACATGAACTAGGGAGGAATTTCAGGAATGAATAGATGCATTATGTATGGCAAATGGACATAGTTTGCAATAGGAAATATGTTCTTTGAGGGGACAGGGTTTCTTTAAACAGAACCTGGCCTTTTCCCATGCAGTGCCAAGCAACACTTTTGCTTAACTGCCACCCTCCCCAGCTGCACATTCCTGCCTTCCATTTGTACCCCCAACACTACATTCTGCTGCCCGGAACAAAGAGAAATACCTGGCAGTTCCAGGAGCATAGGGAACATGTGACCTAGCACAGTAACAGGTCCACTTTATAGAGTATAGGCAGCATGTATTTACCTTCCACTTGCTCTCCAGCCACTGTAACGTGCCGCTGAACATATGGATAAATACTTCAAAATAGGGATGCACCGATAATAGTATCAGTATTTGTGCCAATCCCAAGTATTTGGGTGAGTACTTGCACTCGCCCCCAAATGCTCCCGATGCCTTTCCCGATACCGGAACATCTGGCATCAGGAAGCCGGGTGGCGAGTCATTACACGCTGCCCGGCTTCCTCATTGGCCGGGAAGCCGGCTATATGCTCCCTCGTCACCAGGTAGCATGGAGCCGGCTCCCCGGCTAATCAGGATACCGGGCAGTGTGTAATGACTCACCACCTGGCTTACTGATTGGCCAGAAAGCCGGCTCCATGCTTCCTCGTCACGTGGTGACGAGGTAGCATGGAGACGGCTTCCCGGCAACGAGTCATTACACGCTTCCCGACTTCCTTAATGGGACTTTTGGTATCTGTGAGTACCAAAAAAAAAATCAGTACTCGATACTAAAAAAAACGGTATTGGTGCATCCATAATTCAAAGTGTAGGGGTATATGTGACATGACCCCTAGCTCCACAAAATGCAGTGGCCTATTGCCAAGCCTGAGTGCTGTCACATAGTTTGGCACAGCCCCTGGGGAAACGTTAACTTCCATGAACTTTAGTTGTTATTCTGCTTCTTTAGGGGAGAACATACTTACGCATTAGAGAACGTTGCTGGCTGTTAACGGTAAAATTGGGAATGGTTCCTATGTTTTTTGGTCACCCCAGTGATTTGGGAAATATCATAACACTATTGTTTCTGTTGATTGAGTTGGTATCACAGCATTCCCTCCTTCAAACTTCCAAAAACGTGCAACTTCGCCTAATACAAACTTGCATGTTTGTAGAAATATCTTCTACTAGAAAGGACAATCTGCAACCCGGTTGTGGGTACATGGCTGGCTGCCATCTAATGCCTGCATTGAATCCCCACTCCAACTCACATCATTGGAGCACTTCCTCCTCTTCTCCAACCAGAGATGGGCAGAACCTGAATGCTACAGGGAGCCTGCATGGGGAAAGTAGGTATAGCAGCAAAAGCCGGCATTTTTTAGCAATGGCTGGCCAATTTCTTTCTCTTTTTTTTTAAGGAAGCTGGAGTTGGACTTTAGGACTCCTGTTCAGCTACAATAATTTATCTGGGCCGTGTTATCTTTGCCTCCTAACATGTCTGAACTTTCTCTGGCCTCAAGTCTGAAGCTGACAGCTTTTTCTTCATTCAGAGCGGCTTGTTACAGGTTACACAGCAGGGAAAGCCTCCCAGCTGTGTAACCTGTCATGGAAGGAGCACTGCCTCCGGCTTTTGACAGCTAAGTTAGGTTACACAGAAGCAGGCTTCCCCACTGCTTGTGTAACCTAACATAGTGAGGCCAAAGCTGCAACTGCCTCTACTTTCTGTTAGAGGCATGAGCTCTGTGGATGGTTTGGACCAATGGCAAAGCACCATTGGTCCAAGCTGTCCAATCAAAAAAGAGAAAAAAAACACCAGTGGCGAGCAAGTGAGGGACAGGAAGGCTCCTCTGTCTCCTCCCTTCTCCCTCCCTCCTCCACACATAGCTCGGTGACTGGGTTGGGGGTGGGGCCTCGACAGGCTGGCAGCGGGCAGGGGGAATGGCTCACCTAGCTCGGCCCCTACTGCACGTCACTAGTCTCCACTATGTTTTACGCACCACTTACTATATGACAGCCCAACCAAATCAACACGCAAACAAAGTGCAATAAATTATCTTTACTATGAACAATGTGATGCCCAGTGCTGGACAGCAGACGTTGGGTTTCATGTGAAGCTGGTTATCTGGGCATCTAACACTGGTTTTCTATTTGAAACAAAAGACTTGGCACTCTGCGCACGGGAGGGTGGCACACTGACATCGTTTGCAAGAAGGGATTTCTGTGATCCTTGAGGATGTTTCACTCGTTTAGATCTTCCTATAAGAATACACCATGTAAAAAAAAATAGTACAGTATTCATTAACATATCCAATGACGACTGTCAAACCTTCTATATGTTCATACACAAAGCAAAATATTGGCAAACATCTCTGTACCCTCTCACTAGAAGAGTAGCAAAAGATAATCAAAATGAGATCTGAGGACACAGAAGCATTACTAAAGATGGAATACAATGTTATCTCTATTAGAATCATTTATAAGTATTTCAATCAAACAAAAAGCCTAAAACATCACCTAAGGCCTCAGCTAGATGACGTAGGGTCCATTCACACCATGTGCATTGGGGCTGCACTGACCATTGTCTCCAGGAAATTTGCCTTGTCGTGGACGGGAATGGTTCACACCACCACGTTACGATGCGAACGCGGTGGTGTGCGCTGAAAAAGAGTACGACATGCTGGGGGTTTTCTTCAGCACAGCGGGATGTGATGCAGTACAACCGCCTCGCACCCCGCTGTGCCCGTAGTACTGAATGAAATGTCACTTGTGACATTTGAATAAAGTTCTACTAAACAAAAACAATGCGCTGTGCGGGGATCGGTGCATCTGCACTGTGCCAGGGCAATGCACATCAGACACTGTGGTGTGATTGGGCCCTAATAGTATGGTAACAAAAAGTAACTGAAATTATGTTGTCAATACATCTACTCCATACTCAGCCTGACGATATTTAATATGTCTAAAAACTACCTCCAACATAGCCAAATAGTACAGACATATAATTGGAGTAACAGGTCCATGTGATGGCTCTGATCATGTGTGGAGTAAGTACTGAATAGATTGGATGGAGGGTTTGCGCTAAATATCAAATAGTCACTGCCCACCAATGCCCCACCCTGGAACCTGTATGAAAATAAAACAAATTTGAACCAAAGGGGAGATCATGGCCAGTGTGAAAATGAGTATATAACAAAGCATACATATTGGTCATAACCTGAAGGCTACAGTCACACTGCCACTTCCAAAATGATAATGAGACATTGGGGTTGATTTACTAACCTTATAAACACGCCACGAACAAGTATACACCTCTGTAGTGTGTTCCCTCCCAGCATGATCTATTGGTGGAATCTAAACACCTTTGTAGTGTGTACACACCCAGCAGGTGTGTTGTGCAAAGCCTTGCAAGAATTGCAAGGTGATGTTGTGTAAATTAGCTCTACGTTGTGTTGCTTGCGTTGATGAATGCAGGAATGTAAATGCATGAGCTAACCATTTTTGTCTAAACTGGGAAGCAGCATTATATATGCATCATGTGCATGATTTTTCCATATATGGCATTAGTGGAAATATGCTTTTAGAGACTTTTTGGTTGATAAATACGTTTTGCTGTGTAAAAATAACACGCACCTAGTGCGTGCGTGTGTTTAGGTTAGTAAATCACCCCCATTGGGTGAGGTCTGTAGTACCATGCCGTGTACAAACCTCAATAGCCAACCCGATGTCTTGGAAGTGGCAGTGTGAATGTAGCCTTCAGGTTATGACCAATAACCTCTGACCAATTTTAGGCACCCCTAAAGTTAACCCTTGCAGTGAGTACCCCTCTGCACTGCAAGGGTTAAATGTTTGTTAACTTTAAGAGTTTTTTTCCCTTCTTCCCTGTGTTGACCCTTAAATATACCACCCTTCATGCCACTTTTACTTTGTTTCCTGCTAGAAATGACATTTGTGTCCACACAATTTACACCGGACTATACAAAATATATAAATACATAGTACATATTACTTAAAGAGGAATTTTAAATCTTTAACCCTTACAGTAGGACTACCCCCACACTGCACGATTTAACTGCTAGTTTTGGTCTAGAGGCACAAATAAAGAAAATATACTCACCTGATACTCGATCCTGTCTGGTTACTAGACCGGCCCCTGCAGCCTCTTCTCCCCCGGGCTCCAGAAATCTAAGAATCCGTGAGGTCACCACGTCTAATGCAGGCCCATTCTCCTGCATTAGATGTGAGGTTGCTGAGGAACATTACATAGCCGGAGCGGAGGGGGAGAGAGGTGAGTGTTGAATGCCACAGGATATAGTATCATTCAGGTGAATTTATCTTCTATATTCCGGCCTCTAAACCAAAACTAGCAGTGCGGAGGTAACCCACTGCAAGAGTTATTTTTTTATAAAAACCTGTAGTTCTTCTTTACGATATTTTTGCATGCCAACATAGAAGTGAAACACTTTGCTGTCTCTGGTCCTGAAATGTTACACGTGTGGATTATGTGCCAGTGCCACCCAGTGCATGCACAAGATGGGAAGTCTAAGTAAAGCGGGGTCTGATGGTATGGAGAGGCTCCACATCACACTTTCAAAGGATATTATAAATGAAAGTAAATGGTTCCCACTTTGCCTACTAGCGCCTTATAAGTGGTGTGATTGGGCCCTACATGACAGGTGCAATGATCTTACCATCTTTAACATGTATAGCTGGTAAATTGGAGTCCATCCTGCCATGATAAATTTGACCATCAGATCCCTGAATATCAATCTCCTCCTGCAGATGAAGGTGCATGATAAAAATTAGGGAGGCATAAATTCAGGGAAAACATAGATGTAGAAAACAAAACAAGTTATGTAATTTCCCCAGTGGGGACACGTCGATAATAAAAACCTGATAGGTGTTTTAACTAGAAATGGACCGATACTAGTATTGGTATTGGTGCTAATACCAAGTATTTGGGCAATCACTCATACTTGGCCGAATGCTCTGATACTTACCTCCGATACCAGAACGTCTGGTCAGAGGGAGATCTCCTTCTGACCAGCAGTGCTGAGGGAGCATGGAGCCAGCTTCCTTTCCAATCCAGGAAGCCAGGAGGTGGATTGAGACCTGCCTCCCAGCTTCCTGAGTGGCTAGGAAGACGGCTTTACTTATTGATAGGCAGCCTGGCTTCCTAACCAATCATGAAAACAGACAGCATGTGTCGTCCCCCCCCCATAGATTCCTGATTGGCTAGGAAGCCAGCTTCCCTTTTGCTAGGCAGACTGGCTTCCCCAATCAGGAAGCCGGATGGCATCGCATGACCTGCCGCCTGGCTTCCTGATTGGTCAGGAAGCCAGGCAGCCTTGGCACGTGTAGCCATTGTTCTTTCGATAGAACACCGGCACACAGCACCAGTATCGGTACTTGGTATCGCCGAGTACCAAAAAAAAAATATTGGTACTCGTACTCGATACTGAAAAACCCATATTGGTGCATCCCTAGTTTTAACCCACCTCCACTATATCTGAGAAAAAGGTTTTTTCCAGAGTTTCACTTTAATCTGTTTTTCTGTAATCCAAGGCAGCCAGATTTCACAGAGCTCCTCTACGTGTGGAATGGGTGAGTCTGCTTCTTGTAGCTTTTTCTTCTGTAAGGTCCCCTCTTTGTGTTGAATATATCATCAGTCAGATTCCATTTCCAAAGCAGGTTTGAATCTGGCTGGCAGTAAGAAACATCTTAGGGATGATACTAAGACAACAAGGAGCCTGCAGTGGGAGTGTTTGGGAATACCTCATCTGCATTATACAGGAAAGCAAAAACGGTTCCCAGATCACCAAGAAAAAAGAAGTTGGGAGGTGTACCTTTAACTTGCACAATGTCATATCTGATTGACTTTCTCTTATTTCCCTATTCTTTTTATTTATTTAGCATTGGCATAACCCACAAGTCTGGGAATAATTCACACACGTACCTGACCTGAAGATGCTTACAGTCTAATACTCACACACACTAAGGCCAAGTTAGCAATGACCCAGTTATTCTGATGCTACTTTTTAGGCTGTATATGGAAAAGCCTATTTAAAACAATAATATAAATTCCCAATTCTTGTGGCCCAAATCTGATAAATCAGTTATAGCAATAACAATATGTAAGAAGGACTGGGAGTGGGGCCTCTGAGACACTCTGAACATGACCTCTGACTATATGTAACACTGACTATACCCTGACACAATACGTAGCCTCGGGGGTCATTACAGAACTTATTGCATGTTGACAACAAAGAGTTAGTGCTTTAACCAGCAGACCTGCCTTGTAGTGCATCAACATAAACCTAAGGACATGTGCTGATGGGCCTCTGCCTGTGTCAGAACTGTTTCTGCAACCTTTTCTGGACACCTGTCTAAAGGGGATATCCCATCTTTTTTTTCATGAGATCTCTATACTGCTGCTGTGATTGAGAAGGGAAGTGAAGGCAAATCTCTACATCAGGATGCACACAGAAAAAAAAATACAGGAGTCCCTACTCTATACAAAACTTTAAAAAAAAACGTTTGGTTGTATTCTGTCGGTGTGGTGTGATTGGAAATGGAACCCAAAGTGACAATACATATATGGTCAGTGCTAAACACTGGTCTTTACCTTCAGACCAACTCCCACCAGATCTTCTTCTTGAGAGGAACACGGGGTGATACCCTGCATCCTGACATAACGTCGATGCGGGAAGGTCACTGTGTGGCTCCCTCCACATTTTCGGTTAGTTGGTATATACCCAAGATCAGTAAAGTCAGCAATGCGATCACTAATAAAAGCAGAAGGTCAGAAAGTTACCAGGATTTTACATACAATCACCTGACATGGACGGTGTCTGTACAGCTACACACTTTCTATCATTCACATTTGGGACACAGTTGGCTGACCAACAATATACAACTCACTATATCATCTTAGACATCTGATAAAGCTGGGATCAAGTGTTAGGTTAGACTCAAGGATAGGGAGATTAAGTGTAAGGCTGCATTCACACAAGGCATTCTTGGAATCCTGCGGCAAGAACCTATGGATTCTTTTAGCGGGAATCCCAGATGTCCCCATTCAGATGCAGCCGCTGTGCCTGTTCTACTTAATGGCAAGGTGACAGTGGCCTCATCTGTCAGTGGCAGTCCGCATGTATTCATCATGATACGATCACATGCGGCTTGGGATAGATGATTGTAACTGTAATCATCTATTATCTATCCCGAACTGCAGGTAATCTTACCATCTGTGATGGACTGCTGCTGACAGATGCAGCCGCGGTCACCCTGTCAATAATTTGAACGGGCGCAGTGACCGCATCTGAAAGGGGATACCTGGCATTCTTGCCTCGGGAATCCATAGGTTCTTGCTCCATGGATACATGAATGCAGCATAAGCCACGTGTGAATAAGAGTTAAGTGTAGGGTGAACTTGTGCAATGCACATGCAGAATAAACAACACGTTTACTTAATTCAGGCCCCTGCAGCAGCCTATACTCACCTACCCTTCGCTCAGTTTGCTCCTGGGAGGGAAGAGACATACTTGGTAATTCTGGGTTATGGGAATTCTTTACTCACCATGCTCCCATGTGACTGTGCTGGTTGGCAGTTGGCTGCTCAGGCACCAGCACTGTCACAAGGAGGTGGGGAGAGCCCTCAGCCCTGTGTAAGCTCTCACAGGACATTACTGCTACTCCTTATTTTCAGTAGCAGAAAAGGTAGTAAGTGTGTATAGGGGTGCAAGTGTAATCTGCTATGGGGATCAGCTTTAGTAAACCTGCTACATTGCCCTACATAGGATAAGTGCAGGTTACTGACCTTTACTCTGCTTCACTAAAAATCATATCAGCATGCAGTTCTCTCTCATATGAAATCGTATTACATTTATTAGCTAAACAAACTGTCAGGATCCAGAGCACCCCCAGGTGGTGCTGGAGCCAGGTCCTGAAGTTCCTGTGCTCGCCTGCGGGTGTCTCCAGCAGCCAGGAACTGTAAGGAACCAGCAGCTCCAGTACTCACCTGCGGGTGTGCCCCAGCTGTGACTGATCATCCCATCACCTGGTGCTTCCTGGGAGGGTATTTAGGCCCTCCCTGCAGTCAGGAAGCTGGCTCAGTATTGCGTCGCCTGCACTTGACTGATTCCCATAAACCTGAACCCTGCTTCCTATTTGCAGACCTGTCGCCGACCCGGCTTGTTAACTGACCACTCTCTTGGATCCTGTTCCTGTACCATGCTGCTGCCCTCCTGATAATGACCCGGCTTGTACCTGACCACTCTTCTTTTATCCTGAGGACTGCCATATATCTGCAGGCCTGTTACCCCTCCTTGTTGCTCCCCCCTGGCTGTAGATGTGTGTTTGTCCCAACGGTGGGTTTATTACTTCACTACCAAACCTGTGGGGGGTTGAGGGGGTTTGTAGTTTTGTTGTTGTGTAGCAAATAAACTGTGTGCATAGAACCCTATCCTGTGTGGGCATATTAATTTGTTCATCCTGCGTGGGTACCTGCATGTGGTGTGAGGACGCCTGTGCATGGTACCCTGACACAAACATATTTTTATTTTACTTAGATGTACTGTTTTTCCACTTCTTGGTACTCTTAGGCATTACTGATGTACTCCGGGCCTAACAGATGCATTCTGGGAAGGCTACATCAGCAGTACATTGCTGGGAAATCTCTGCTGTAAACTGTAAAATCTGCAAAAATCTTGCTTGATTGGGGAAAGGCATTCTTCCCTCTGAGATAATGTGCACATTATCTCAGAGGGAAGAATGTGTCAGCGTTCCAGGAAGTAAAAGGAGATGGATTAATCTGCCCTTAGTAAAAATGGCCACTGTAAGAAGAATGGGGAGGAAAAGAAAAATAATGTATGAAAAAAAGAAATTATCTAAATGTATCTGTTTATAGATTGCCATTACTAAACATTTCTAAAGGTGCCTCTGTTGTCATTTTGTAAGATACAGGTGAAGTTCCTCTTTAAGAATACAATGCAATACTTGATTTAAAATGCAACTACGGAAGCACTATTGACCACATACGTAATTTACATATTTGAATAAAAGTATATACAATGTTTTTGCGTTATATTCAGAGTATGTCATTGAAAGAACAAAGAAAAACTGGACTAGAGTTTAAGAGTACTTGTACATTTGGAGGGCGAGTGTTCCAAGAACTTAAGCAATTATGTGACAATTATAAGATAATTATCAGCTGTTTTCACAAACATGTTCTAACTTGTGTTTCATATTCACGTCTTAAAAGTATTATTTTCTTGCAAAATATTTCCTCTGTCTAGTCCATTTTTAAAATATATTGTATTTTTTTAAATTTGCTGAGGAGATATTGCAACCTGAAGATCCTTAGCTCCCAGTTTCCCCAGTCACTAGTCGAGGCTTGAGTGTAGGTGAAACAAACTCTGGTTTATTGAGAAACTGCACAAACTTTTATACAGCAAGTGATGAGATCAGATTATAATCCCATCACATCCACCCTGCCCTCCCTAGACAATCGGTCTGCTCAACACCACAGGGTTTCCCCTGCTAACGAGCTCCAGATAGCCATAGCAGGAGCCTGGCCAGAATGTCATTGTTCTGAGCTCCCTCAGAGAACAATGGGAGATAACGAGGGATGGTGCTGATAGTCTTTCCATAACCAGGTTACTCAGTATAACGCACTCAAACATAACTCAACACCAATACACATTTAACTCATAAAACTGATCACCATGTCGTCACAGAGGGCATACAGATATACGAGCATTACCTGATCTCACATTAACCAGCCATTCATGCCATTATACAGGGAAACAATAAATTACAAACTTTTGAATTTCGGCTATTGACACAGAGAGCACAGAGCATTTATATACTCGTGCTGTGTCTACATGGGTATGATGGCCATCCCTGGAGAAGACTTGATGGTTCAGATGGTGGGATGAAACTTAGTACCAAGCGTGGGATGTCAGGACTTACTGTCCATACTCCTTCTATCTACTCACCTACGGTTGCACTGCCGAATTTAATCTAGTTCGTAAACAGGGTCACTTTATGTAAGAGGCAGTAGACTTTTCTCCAAATTATTTTTACACAGGGGCACTTCCACAAACTGTGAGAAGAATCAGCTTTAGGCTTACCACTGGATAGTTAAAGTGAACCACCTACAGACTCTAGCATCTGGCAAGCTTGGCCTAAGGAGGAGAAAGGGGGCACTGGCTTATCTTGGGTGAAAACATGTCGATAACGTGGAAAAACTGAACATACCACGAATCCTGAGTCAACAGATTTCTCCTGGGTCTATGGAGGGCATACAGATATGCGAGCATTACCCGATCTCACCTTAACCAGCCATTCATGCCATTAGAAAGAGAAACAATGAAGTTTGAACTTTTGAATTTCTCCTATGGACACTGGGAGCACAGAGCATTTATATATTCATGCTGAGTCTACACAGGTATGATGGCCATCCCTGGAGAAGACTTGACCGTTCGGATGGTGGGATGAAACTTAGTACCGAGGGTGGGGAGACAGCACTTACTGTCCATATCTACTCACCTGCGGTTGCACTGACGAATTTGATCCAGTTCGTAAACTGTGAAGGGCCGAAGGGAGCGATGAAATGGCAGTCCTGGAATGTTGGGGATTGTTAATATCGGCCTGTGTGGGAAATAAGGAAAATAATCCTGTTATGTGGCTGATGATGATTACGATGATGATGATAATAATAATAAGAAGAATTAATAAAAACTTACGGTCCCGGTACCATCATGTTTATACGGCGGTCACATGACAGGCAGTGGAATAGCTGCCTAAAAGGTAACAGTTTAAGGTTTAAATTTAGGAATGAAACTTAAACATGTTATTACTGCTGTGTTATGTACATAGTAGGGAAATAATCGGGTGAGACTTGTGACTATGCTATGATTATACAACACATTATACATGGTATTTCCAGGAACAGGATTTTAGGAAATTACTGTATATAATTTGTATTTGGCCACTAGCAGCTTCATTCAACAAAAATGTCTTATTCTTAAGTGCGGAAACATATAGCAGCCAAACAGAATGGGAAGGATTGGGCGGCGGCACATAATGGGAAACTTAAAAGGACAAACTAAATTTCATAGAAATCCCTCTTGTACTGCTCATTCTTTAACAGCATGCAATTAAACCCATGCTGAGAGAAACACAGAGTCTGCCATTGCTAACTTCCTTCGGAAATACTACTTACTTGGCTTTCACCGACTTGCAGAGTTCCCATTGCCAATACTATCCCACACTTGCTGCTGGTGTGTGGAATAGTGAGTCCCCTGCTGGCTGCTGTGGTTCTTTCCCCCAACCCCTACATCACTATAATGTCATGCAGTGACATAGGGCTTGGTGGGAGGAACTACTGTGGCCAGTGGAGGGACACGCTTTTCCATACACCAATGGCATCAATTAGTAAAATGAAAGTGTTAATGCTAAAAGCAAGGGGCCAGAATCCTGGGATTTCTCGCTGCAATGACCTATGGAAAGGACAGAAGACCATGCAATAGCATCCCCGTATCATAGGTTCCATGTGTGCAACCCCTAAACCTACACAATGCTATACAATTACGACTTTCACACCATTTGGTTGGCTGTGTGGTAGCCATAAAAAAGAAGGTTTTACGTAAACTTTGGAGTGGTTTAATGTATATAAATTGATTGTATGGTGTCAAATCAGATATAGAGATGTTGTATATTATTCAAGAGCAGCAAGGGAATGCCAATCAAGAGAACAACTGCTTTAGATGCTTTTTTTGGCTTACTCACAGAAAAAAGTCCGGTCACACACCGCAAGCTTCTCTGAAATGTGTATTGTAGCACACAGGTACACATCGCCCCGCCGTGGACTCTCTTCACTCTGACATGTTTCATATCTCTATGACTAAGCCCATTATTGAGTGAAACATGTCAGAGTGAAGAGGATCCACCACGGGACGATGTGTACATGTGTGCTACAATAAACTTTTCAGCGAAGCTTGCGGTGTGTGCAGGGCCGGATTTACTCTCCCTGCATCCCCAAGGCCAGGTTCCGCAATGCGCCCCCCCAGGAGCTAGCTAACAAACCCCTGTGTGATAGCCTTTGGAGGTGACAGGTTCTCTTTATTTAACCTGTCACCTCCAATACAGAAGTTCTAGCACAGTATACACTGCTCCCCACATCGGCGGCCAGTGAGGAGAGACTCGGCGGCCGGGGGGAGGACGGAACCAGAGGAGAGAGGTAGGTGCGTTGGCAGGAGGGGAGGACGGACAGGCTGCAAACATTTTACACGTGATCGCGGCGACATAGCCGCGATCACTTGTAAACTAACAAGTGGCTTCCGCACATTACATTTAGTCCTGCCTTCCCAATGCAGGACTAAATGTAGAAGGCTACTTACCGCCCGGCGTCAGGGGACTCCACACCGCTGCCGCCCCTCTGCGCCCTGCCGCCCCGAGGCCTGGCCTCGGTGGCATTGTGGGGAATCCGGGCCTGGGTGTGTGAATCTATGAATCCCCATAAATTTCTCACTTTGTGAAAGACATGAAAATTGAACTGATACCCTATACAGTGATACCTTGGTTTACGAGCATAATTCGTTCCGGAAGCATGCTTGTAATCCAAAGCGCTTGTATATCAAAGCGAATTTCCCCATAGGAAATAATGGAAATTCAGATGATTCGTTCCACAACCCAAAAATATTCATATAAAAATGATTATAATACTGTAGTGTAATATAATACTGTACAAAATATAAAGAAAAATAAACCAATTACCGGTACCTTCGTGGCTGGTGTGGGGGGGGACGAGAGAGAGAAGGATTATTGTGTAGGACGACTTTCACTAACGGAATCACTGCTATCCCTTGACTCAATGGAATCTTTTTCATTTCGTGAAACCTTAACAAGGAATCTATCCAATGTGACATTGCATTGTCGTTAAAAAGACTCATCGCTCGCACTGCTACAGCCTTATTCGGGTGGTGCTTTTCTAAAAAATTTTGCTCTTACTGCAAGTCATTGCTTGTATATCAAGGCAAACTTTTTCAGAAATGTTTGCTTGTCTTGCGGAACACTCTCAAACCAAGTTACTTGTAAACCAAGGTATTACTGTAAATCATTTCAGTCAACCTGGACCAGGGAGATGACACAAATACAGAACACTACAGCAATGATACCCTCTAGTGGTCATAAGTTATTAAACCGTGCCAATTCACAGAATTGTTACCCTTTTGATGGTTTCACTTTTTTGCACCTTTTTGTGTGCGCTTTCATGTGTTTGTATGTGTTATCAACAAACATGTGTTTTTCTGCACTGCCATTGTTATCAATATTACATGCATCAATGCATCACAAAATAGATAGCACATATTAAGGCATCGCACAGATATGAACTAGCACCATTTGAAATAATGCCTATCTGGTGTACAAGCCTTAATGTGCAATATAATGTGCACATTAAAATGCACAGGTATGAATAGGCTCTTACCTGCGGATACCGGCAGCGTCATCAGACTCGTACTGGGGTGGTTTTTCTTGCAGCTGTCGGCGAATTTCCTTCCATCGTTCTTCTAATTTCTTCTTAAGAGGATCCAGTTCCATGCGATCCAGCTGTAAAATGGAGCTGGGTAAGAACAAGCACATATGTATGGTGGCATCTATATGTGTGATAAACAGACACATAGAAGGGAATTTATCAAAACTGGAGTAGACAGAATCTGGAGCAGTTGCCCATAGAAATCAATCAGCGTCTCTCTTTCATTTTCAAAGCTTAAATGAACAAACTTAAGAGACAAGCTGATTGGTTACTATGGACAACTGCTCTATATTCTGTCTGCTCCAGTTTTGATACATTTCCCTTTTAGAGCTGCTCCGTCGCAGAGATTTTCTATGATATTGAGTCTCGTTACGGAACACTTAAAATATGTCTAAACAAGTAGTACTCGAGAATGACTTGACTAAGGTAGAATGAATGTGGGGCGGGTGGGTGGGAGTTTGCTCCTCATCCGTCAGTCACCAACTGCTGAAGATGGAACCCCACCCACTCAGACCCCCACTAAAGCTCCACTTAACCTTTTGACCTGGACTATCGGGTAAGTAAACTAAGGCCAGAAGCCAAACCATTTACTCTTTGTATTGTCTCCCCTATTCACCTTGTCATGCTTGCCCTCCGCATATTTTTTGTTTTATTTTTGCTCCGGGCATAACTTTATGTATGACTTGCCTTGTGTTTCAGTGTATCAGTTGGGGTATGAAGGGCCTACAAGTAGAATACATTATTGGGACCAACCATGGCTCCCCTGCATCTCACGATACAATGCAAGATCCTGTTAAAAGGTTGCTGAAATCCTGCATTGTATTGTAGAATGCACTGGAGAAATTCCTAGTCCTAACTGTAAGAAATGTTCACAAATATAAATTTGCATATTGTAGGTACCTGGGTTAGGAAAGAATAGGGGAAGGGGGGAGATGTGCAGTAAACTCATTGCAAGGAATCAGCATTTGGTCATTTTTCTATGATTAGTTCAGAAATGACAGGTGAACTTTAAAAAACACTTATGTATATCTAACTGCTGAAAAGGCACAAGACACAGAACAAAAGATAGCAAAAAGGCAACATTATGTCTAAGTTTTAAAAAGGTTTGCTGAGAAACATAGAATTATTCAAATAAAATATATTTACATGATGTTGTGCCATGATTTAAAGTGTATCTAAAGCCAACACTTTATTTTATTTTGGATAGAGTAAGGGATTGATCACAACCCTGTCAGTTGTTTTCTTTTTCTTTTGCTGGGGAGATATCTCTTAACTTCCTGTCCTGTAGACGCACAAGAAGTTAGAGAAAATCTCTTCTGAGACGGTTCTCATGGGAACAAGTGTCCGTGTTGGAAGATTTCCCCTCTATTCTCCTCTATTTCCATCTATTCCTTTTCCAGAGACAACCTAAAATTCTGGATTTTCCTTCCTTTTTTTACCTGTGCCATCAAGACAAACAGAGAGGGTACATCTCCCCAGCAAGGATCCAGACATATAAAAACACATTTACATAATTTATATATTTATAGACATATATTTTATGTTGTTTTATATCTTAGCCCTGATAAAGGGGGGGGATTTGTGAGCCCCAAGAAGCATTGGTTGATTTTCTATGAACTTCTATGAACTAATATCATTAAAGTTTTACTGGACCTTTGGTATGTTTGTGGCGCTCTCACTCATTTGCACTTTTTTTCTTTACCTATAAAAACCTGACTGGGTTCTAACAATTCACTACTCTATCCAAAACTACAAAAAAAAAAGTTTTGGCTTTAGATACATTTTAAAAGTATGAAGCAAGTCACCTAAAAATAAAATGATCCCTACATTTTGACTTGATGTGTGTACAGTGAACGAGCACAGATACATACTCACTTTACTCTGCATCTCCAGGTTGATCTTTTCCAGCACTCTCTGCCAGTCCTGCTCCTGCCCACTTACTTTGCCCAGCAGCTCCTGCATCATGCTGTTTATGTGATCAGTGGTGGCATCAAACTGAGAGCGGCTCACTTTACCTTCCAAGGAATGCATGTCTGCTTGCTATCCAGAAATGGAGTAGAAGCAAAAATAAGAGTTGAGGCAAAAAAGTTAATGTACTTGTCTTTACATTGTAAAGTACACAGAGACATTCATAGTAACATGCTCAATACATGTTTGGTTGCCTACTCAGACATTAGAACAAAATTTCCACATAGCCATTGTAGGGAGGGATAGTGCTAGGGTTACGGGGAGGGTTAGTGTTATAGGGTGGTGTAGGGTAAGGGTTACAGGGAGGGCTAGTGTTAGGTTACATGGAGGGTTAATGTTAGGAGTACAGAGAGGGTTACTGTTAGGCTTAAAGGAAAGACTGATGTTAGGGTTATATGAAGAGCTAAGTTTATAGAGAGGGTTAGTGTTTAGGTTCCATGAAGGGTTAGGGTTAGGGCTACAATGAGAGTTAACGTTAGGGCTACAGGGAGGGATGGTGGTAGGCTAGTGCAGGAGAGGTGAGTATGAAAAGAAGGGGTTAAGTTCACATAAGGGAGGGTTAGTGTTAGGGTTACAGGAAGGGATGGTGTTAGGCTTACAATGAGCATTAGTATTAGGATTACAAGGAGGGATAGTGTTAGTCTGGTGTAGGAGAGGCGAGTATGCAAAGAAGGGGTTCATTTTACTTAGGGTTAAAGGGAAGCTTGATGTTAGGGTTATATGAAGAGCTATGTTTATAGAGAGGGTTAGTGTTTAGGTTACATGAAGGGTTAGTGTTACAATGAGGGTTACATAAGGAATTACAGGGTTACAGTGTCACTGAAAGGGTGGGCTAGTGTAGGGGTTACAGGGAGGGCTACTGTTATGGTTACAAAGGAGGGTTAGTGTTAGAGTTACAGTGTGGGCTAATGTTAGGTTACAGGGGAGTTGGTGTTAAGAGTAGAGGGAAAGTTAGTGTTAAACAGAAAGCTGATCGTAGGGTTATTTGGAGAGCTGCGATTACAGGAATGGTTAGTGGTAAGGCTACAATGAGGGTTAGTGTTAGTGTTACATGGAAGGTTAATCTTATGATGATATGGGGAGCTAGGGTTACAAGGAGGGTTAGCGTTTAGGTTACAGGAAGGGATAGTGTTGAGCTTACAATGAACATTAGCATTAGGATTACAAGGAGGGATAGTGTTAGCCTGGTGCAGAAGAGGTGAGTATGTAAAGTTGCAGGGTTGCAGGGAAGGCTAGTGTTAGGGTTACAGAGAGAGCAGTTTTTAGGGTTACATGGTGGGCTAGTTTTAGGATTACAGTAAGGGCTAGTGTTAGGGGTGCAGGAAAGGTTAGTGGAAGGGTTACACGAAGGTCTAGTGTTAGGATTACAGGGAGGGTTAGTGTTGAGATTACAGGATGGGTTAATCTAGGGGTCACTGGATAGGATAGTGTTACGCTTTAATTTTATGGTTACATGGAAGGTTAATGGGAGAGGGTTAGTGTAGTGCATTACTCTCAGCAGCGGGAGCTTTGTGTCCAAAACTGCCAATACAATAAAAGCTAATGTAGTGCTCGTAAGAGCTTCATATTGGAATCTTTAGTCACCCCGCGAAGACAAACTATTCCTGAAGCATTGTCTGACAGAAGAAATGTTCACATTTATTATATGTTAATAAAAAATCCTCACGACCCTTTTTGAATGGGAAAATCTACTCCAAATCTACCTTGAGCTCATCAGCAGTCATCAGCTCATCAACCTTGTCGACCTTCTTCTCCTCCAGCTTCTCCAGAGCCTGATAAATGGTCTGTCAGATATAAAAGGGTGTCATTAAAGAAAGCCTCTAACAAGAAATACTGAGGCTATTATATTGCTGAGCTTCTTCTTAAAAATACTAGTCTCTTGGAGCAGTTGTTTCTTAGTTACTGACCAGGAACAAGCATACTGCAAACCACACAACTAGTATTCTCAGAAGGAGAGGAAAACAATGACAGCCTCTATATTTATCTCAGGACAGTTTGCTTTTTAATAAGAAAGGCAGAACAGGAGAAAACAGTAATTGGATGCAGAGTGCATGGATAATTAATAGTGACTGATATTTTTGTAGGAAAAAAGAAAAGAGAACTGCCATAGTATGAAGAGACACCAGGAATGAGAATGTCCATAATTAAAGGAGGTGACAGCAACCAAGATGGTGAGGTTTTTTTTTTTTCCTCTAACATTTATGTGTCTCTGCTTCTCTTGCTGATCCTGGAATATGGAGCCTGAGGACTTGTCCAGCTGCTCCAGCTCCTCTTGCAGCTGCCGCACTTTGTCCTGGAGCAGATCCTTGTCCTCAGAGGGGAACACAGAATCATTAAAGAAGTAGAATATTAATGAACAACGGGCAAATTTAAAAATCAGTTTAAAACATCAGCATAAAAGACATACATTATATATGTAGTTGTTCCTTTTTAAATACAATAAACACCCGGTGAACCTGTCAGTAAAAAAAACTTTTCTAAAGTTTTGCAGCAGACTGTCGTGTCTCTGGAATGGATACATGGTGTCTGTGTATAGGTTTGTAACCTGAGCCAGCACTACAGGAAGAGGCCCTGAGCTGCAAAGGGAAGTTCTCTCCCAGCATGAGAAGACATGAGGATTTAAAAGGAAGAGCAGCAAAGAGAAGGAAACTACCATGGATTACAGTAAGGCACACAATACAGTATTGGTTTATGTTAAAAAATCTGAGGGTTTAATGTCACTTTAACTGTATTTAAATATACTAACTCAGATAAGGATAAAGGTCACTTCTCTATAAATTACTAGTAATAAATTAAAAATAATAATTTAGGACGGTATCCATAAAATAATTTTTGCAATAACTGAAACCATAAGTTATTGCAAAAATGTAATTGCAAGTCACGATAATGCACATTTTATGCAAGTTTGTTACTTGTTGCTCGTAGGGCAGCACACCGATTTCAGTGAGCTGCCCTACGTGTGACAAACACGGCACAAAAGCTCATGGACCTTTTTGAGCTTTGCATGTTTTTTGCACATCTGTCACATGTCTTTGCTCATGAAAAACGCATATCTTGTGTGGCACATTTGGGGTGCCATTAACAAAGAATGGCACTGCAAGTGCAACATGTACAGTATTTTTCACACATTTCGTGAACATGCGCACATTTGCAGGATTTTTAGCACATGAATAAATGTGAGTGGAGGCTCACAGCTCACTCAGCTGGAATCATTTATTGAAGTTGTACCACATCCAGAGGCTGATTTACTCTCTCTGCTGCCCCAATGCCAGGTTCCTCAATGCACCCCCCTGTATGCAGGCTGCATACAAGTGATCTCGGTGACCTCGCCGAGATCACTTGTGCAAAACAATCAGCGGAATCCCCGCTGTACATTTAGCTCCGCTTGCCCAAAGCAGGGCTAAATGTAGAAAACCACTACCCACCCGGTGCCCAGAACTTCATATCCCGGACATCAGGAGATAGGAATTCCACACCACTGCTGCCCCTCTACTCCCTGCTGCCTCGAGGCCGGTCCTCAGTTGGACTTTTGGCAAATACGGCCCTGACCACATCACTGGTGGCCCGCTCAAGGTCCTTCCCCTCTGATGCATTTCACCCAATCACAGGCTTAGTCATCATCCCTACGACTAAGTCTGTGATTGGGTGAAATGCATCAAAGGAGGCGGACCTTGGGTGATGTGGTACAAGATTCGTTAAATTATGCCAGCAGAATCTGGTGTGCGGTCAGATTTTTTTCTGTTTGTTTGGGCTCATATTGGAGCAAGGACGTGCTCCCAGTGGCAAGCACCCGTCTCATTCCTTTCCTGAGCCGTGGAGGAACAGTGCTTATTTTCAGCCCCCTGGCAACTACTGTATTCAGTTCAGTGGATAATGTTTCACTGAGGGTGGTAGCTGAGCTATTTCAGGAACATCAAAGCAGGCAGCCTGCTGGTATTTACATGGGCAATAACATTAGTGCCCACGCTGTGTGGGCACTAATGCTTAAATCACAGATTAAGAGAAAGGGGGTTGCAGTCCGGCAGACATTAGACTTCATGAGCCTATGAAGAACAGTGGACAATGTAATTTTAAAGTGGCTGGGGTTGGTACGTGCCACCACCAATGACCATTTACTAAAAGCCCCATGCAGTTACATTAGCAGAGAGCAGTCTCACCTTTTCACTGTTACTTTTTAACTCTTCTACGTCTTTATAAAGGGAGCTCAGCTGCTCTTGCAGGCCTGATAGGTTTTTGAGATGTTCAGCTGAAAAGTGAGCAATTAATAGATACATTAAGATACAGAGTGTAGAATGGATTACATTATAGATACCTTTTATTTCAAAGTGGTCAACCTGCTCCCATTTAAAATAAACCTGTACCTCATGCACAATGGACAAAGTATAGGTTCACTTTAAAAGAGGGAAATTTAGATATCAGTACTTCCCTGGACTTCCCGACCTCCCTGATCCTCTGCCAGGTCGCCCCAAATAACTCTTCAAGTCTAAACACCACCACTTGACGCCATTTGGGCCTAGCAACTGTTTGTTGAGGCTGGCCTGTGAAGAACAATACTCCGAATACTCAGAAGTAGTAGGTACCTGTGGTTCCTTGCAGCATGCCGAGTTCTGTTCTATCTTCTTTGATTCTCTCCAGTGCCTCCACCCGTGCTTGAAGCAATGCATGTTCCCCAGAAAGGGCACCAATGTTGCGAAGTGCTTTCACTGTATCTGCAAAGCGATGTGATGGACGGCTGCCATGGGAGGATGATGGTGTATTTGGGGGTGTATCTTTATTTGGAGTACCAGGATAGCTAGCAGGGGCTGGGGAATAATTATTGCTATCACCTACAACCATTAGCTGTGCTGTTGTTGTGGGGTGTAAACCAGGAATTTGAGTTGTTCCATCTGCACTAAGTGTAGCGAGTGAGGAATAACCATCTCCAGGAGAACCTGGAGAGTATGCATTCTCCTGACTAACAATAGGAACATTAGTCACAGAATGGTCAGTAGCAGGACCGCAAGGTTGAGCATGGGAATTATCTTCAAGTTTCTGGCTTGCTTTATCTGTTTGAAATGGGATGGATGTGCCTTCTTGACCATTCCCTTGAGTAAGTTCTTCATGAGTGTCAGAAGCAGAGAAGGAGGACTTCCCAATGGGTTCTTGTGCTAGACTTATTTCCGTTTCAACAACAGTGTGTACAGGTTCTTCAGTTTTAAGGCCCTCAGTAATTTGTGCAACTTCAACCGGAGCTTGGGACATGGATGCTGAAGTAGCTGGCTCTTGAAGAGTAGGTTGTGAAGTCATTTCCCCAACCAAAGATGTTTTAGAGGTTGTAGTGCCCTGATCAATGGGTAGAACATTTGAGGTCTGGGCATCCTGGAAGGAGAAGAGAAGAAGACAGCATTCCATAATACTGACACATGAGCCATTAAAATATTCCCCAGTCCAATACCAACTCTAGCTCTATGAGAAAATATATTTATAGGTTTTATAGCAGCGGTTCTCAACCTGTGGGTTGCGACCCTGTCGGGGGTCGAATGACGATTTGCCAGGGGTTGCCTAGTTTCTCCCGGCCACCCAGCCGAGCAGAGTAACCCTTTCTCTGCGGTTTTTTTTTTCCTGACATCGGGGCCACCGTAAGTCAGAAAGAAAACCCCACCATATGAAATCATAGCTAGATTCCTATTGGCTATTTCACTTTGCAATAGCCAATAGCAAACTAGCTATTGCACCCGCCCTCTGCTGCTGCCAATCAGCAGAGGGGGACTTGAAGTTCTCCATCAGGTCCCCTTCTAGTGATTGACAGCAGCAGAGGGCGAGGCGCAATGGAGAATAACACCCTCTATAGAGGAATACATCAGATCCCAGCAATAATACATTATATACAGCGTAATACAGAATACCAGCAGCTACAGAGGACTACAAATCCCAGCAATAATAAATTATGCGGCGCAATGGAGAATAACACCCTCTATAGAGGAATACATCAGATCCCAGCAATAATACATTATATACAGCGTAATACAGAATACCAGCAGCTACAGAGGACTACAAATCCCAGCAATAATAAATTATGCGGCGCAATGGAGAATAACACCCTCTATAGAGGAATACATCAGATCCCAGCAATAATACATTATATACAGCGTAATACAGAATACCAGCAGCTACAGAGGACTACAAATCCCAGCAATAATAAATTATGCGGCGCAATGGAGAATAACACCCTCTATAGAGGAATACATCAGATCCCAGCAATAATACATTATATACAGCGTAATACAGAATACCAGCAGCTACAGAGGACTACAAATCCCAGCAATAATAAATTATGCGGCGCAATGGAGAATAACACCCTCTATAGAGGAATACATCAGATCCCAGCAATAATACATTATATACAGCGTAATACAGAATACCAGCAGCTACAGAGGACTACAAATCCCAGCAATAATACATTCTACAGCGCAACGCAGAATAACAACAGCAACAGTGGACTACAAATCCCAGCAATAGAACATTATATTATAATGGACTATTGCTGCGATTTGTTGAATTCCTCTGGGATTTGTTGTCTCCTTTAAGCAGTGGTTCTCAACCTGTGGGTCGCTGTGTGATTTCTGCTGTGCTAGGTGAGAGTCCTCCTCAGCCCTCTCCTAGCGCAGCAGTGTCAGTTCCCCCGCCACGCCGCCAGATGTGGCTGCAGCAGCCGCGTCATCCCTAAATTTTACCGTTGGGGGTCACCACAACTTGGCAAATGTTACCAAGCGGTCCCGGCCCTAGAAAGGTTGCGAACCACTGTTTTATAGGAATAATGAGTGGATAATTGAATAATTAATTAGATTAATATAGGATTAAATTGTTGATTGGTCACACTGCCATTCTTTTCTGCAGTTCATTTTTCTTCATCGATGCCAATCATTAGACCTACAGGTGAAACTCGAATAATTAGAATATCGTGCAAAAGTAATTCCAGTAAGTGCTGCAAAAGGGGCCCAAACTAAGTACTGAGTACATATGCATGCTTGTACTTTTCAGAGGTCCGATATTGTTCTATGTACAATCCTTGTTTTATTGATTGCATATAATAATCTACTTTTTTGAGGTTGTGGATTTGGGGTTCTTGGGGTTTTCATGAGCTGTAAGCCATAATCATCACAATTATGACAAATCACGGCTTGAATTATCTTGCTTTGCATGTAATGAGTCTATCTCATATATTAGTTTCACCTTTTAAGTTGCATTAGTGAAATAAATGAACTTTGCACAATATTCTAATTATTCGAGTTTCACCTGTAATATCACAGAATTGTACATCTAAATTATTTTGATAAGCCTTATTAAACTGGAACTTTCCCATGCAGGGCAAAGCAACAGATTAATTTTATTGCCGACCCCTTCCTTCGTAAACTCACCTTTCCTTCACCCAAACACCCCCCCCTTCCCGTTCACTATCAGGAGCGAAGAGAAGAAATATCTGGAACTTCCAGGTATGAGGTCATGTGTCTCACATCCCTTTTTCTTATGTTATAGCACTGCTGCTTGGTGACTTGCCCAGCACTATTACATGGAGGTAGGGAAAGGTAAAGTTCAGATGGCCTGGAATTTCTCTGGTGAACAGAGAGGCGGGGAAGTCGGGGAATGGTAAGTTTTAGAGACTGCAGGATTGGGCCCTTTCACACCATCCTCAGTCCGTTTCCGGCCCGATTGTGGCCAGAACGCGCTGGAATGCATTGTGGCCAACTCAGTTTGTTGTGGGGCCGGAGGGGGCGTAGCGGTGCAGTGAAGTGAATGGCACCGCAGCCATGCCCTCCGGCCGCAATGCGATCGGCCGAACAGGAACGCAAGGCACATCAATGCTTGCGGTCCGGTCAGAAAAAATGCTGCAAGCACTATTTTTTCTGACCGGACCGCAGGCATTGATGTGCCACACGTTCACGCGCGACCGACCGCATTGTGGCCGGAGGGCGGGGCTGCGGTGCCATTCACTTAAATGGACCGCCATGCCCCCCCCTACGGAGCTGGCAGCAATGCGATCCAGTGTGTTCTGGCCATAATCGAGCTGGAACGCACTGAAGATGATGTGAACCGGCATTTTGAGGCTGCAGGATTGGTTTTTAAGTGAATCTGTTGCTTTGCCCTGCATCAAACAAATATCTCCAGCAGTTATTCTCTTGTAAAGGATATATGGACACTTTCTGCACCCAACAGAAAGTTTGCAGAAGTCTCTATTTGGCCTTCACACCAATGCTTTGCATTAAACCTAATCAAAGAAAGGGACAGATTTTTATCCAGAAGAAGAGGGATTATACTTACCTCTCTGTCAGCCAGTGTCTCCCACCTTCCCTCAACCTAGTGCTGCAGCCGGCTTTAGTGTCTTCAAGCATTCAACACTTCTGTCTACTGGATGCCCGTGTAACCCGCTGCAGGCTATGGTTCCTTCATCTGACACCTATATCTCTGCTGAATCGTCTAGTGATTAGGGGTCAGTGGAAAGAACCATGCCATGCGGCCGGGAGGACAGAGGCATTTGACACTCCCAGAAGTGTTGAATGCTCGAAGACACTAAACAAGGCCGCAGCACCGGAAAAGAGGAGACATGGACTGCCAAAAAGGTGAGTATAATCCCTATTTTTTGGCAGGGGAGTGCATTTTTTATTTATTTAGATGCCTGATTTATAAATCAGCCATATGCTGGATGAATGCCGTTCGTACGACATTCCTATCGCTAGGTGGCGCTAAAGAGCATAGGACTTCCTATGCTCCTTGGCTCCATCTAGTGGTGGAAATGGGTGCTTGTGAGCTTGTATATAACAAAAGAACACTGGCATCATAAGAGTTTTGTTGTCACTTACTATAATTCTATGCTAGAATTATTCTTTTGTGACCAGGAATTTGTCACTTTACGGTTAGGGAATATGGATATGACACAGCAATAGCTCTAGCAGTGATTATAACATCGCCGTATCCTTTACTTACCACAGCCGCCGGTTGTATCACCAAAGTGTCATGCAATATTTCCCACTGTACCACATTACTCAGATCACCCGGACTTGGAAACTTTGCCAGCCTCTCATCCAGATCATTCTATAATAACCGACACAAAAGGATTCAGGAATATTAAAGTATATTAATCCTCACAATGAACTTATCATATTTGCTCATGTTTGGTACATTGAAAGAATTTTGTTATAGCTGTTCCATAAGTTAAAAAAAAACTGTTGATCCTGCCAGAAATCTGGTGTTCTCCTGTATTCTGTGTACTCTGCAGTGTACGTTGTTTATTTTTTTTGTTCTTGGGTTTAGATACACTTTAAATATTTACTGAAGGGGAACCTTGAGTGCTTTGAAATAAATGTTCTTTCTTTATTATAAACTGGAGCTGGAAAAATATTAATTTATCAGGAAAATATGTACAGAATGAATGAGTATTTCATAGAAGCTTCATTTACAAAACTTGGAACAACTATGGGCAAAACTGTTCTTAACCCTTGCAGTGTGGAAACCCCAGCCGCTCTGCACTGCAAGGGTTAACGGCTCGTTTTCATTTAGGTACAAAAATAGAGTTATACTCACCCGAATCTCAGAGCTGGCTGGCTCTTGCACCGCTCCCGGTCCCTGGAGCATCTCTCCCCATCTGCTGCAGAGGTTTAAGGGTCACTGGAGAACACAAACCAGCGTTCTCCCGTGACCCAAAGCTCAGTATATGAGACGCCGCGCCCGGGACCACCCCACAGGTGAGTTCTACATTTCAGACTTTTTGCCCCATCCCATCTGACTCATTGCGCTAGGTTGTGGCGCTTTGGTCTCCTGTTTTGTTTTTTCAGTGCATACGTCGGACACCCAGGTCCATAATTACCAGGAGCCGCACACCAATGCACAACTCCTGCCTTGTTTTCCCTTTCCCCACCCATTAGCGCATAAAACATTGGACTTCCTTTTATAACTTTTCACGAAATACACTTTAATGCCTGGTTCTTTGGGTATTATTGGAGCAATGCAGCAATTGTGAGGCCCTGTAGACCATGAAATGCTTTTACTTACCAGCTTCTTCTGGACAGATTGATGTTCTATCTGCAAGTTTTCTACATCTCCCTTTGTAGCTACCTTTAGCTCCATGAGGGTCAGTCGCTGCTCCAGCTCCTGCACATTATCCTGCGTTTAGAATAATTAGGACAGCCAAGGTTACACATCTGTAGTGTACAGTTGTAGAGTGTGACTAGACGCACAAAGACACCTTTGTTTAGTACCTTTACTGCCCTCATAGTGCTACATATGGATAATAAAATATTGCACACCTCTTAGCTTTTTTTGAGACAGAAAAATAAACAGGGGTGAATGAGGCCCCCAGTGAGACTGGAAGGTACTGTGTATGATTGAGGGTTAAGGCTTCCAGTGCATGTGGGGAAGAATCTATTAATTAGAGCAGAAGTGAAGTTATAAAACAAAAAATTGCTGGGAGGTAGGGACTTTTGGCAGAAGAGACTTTGCACGTCTCTTTGTGAAAAAGTCTTCCTCTTTCCGCTATGCGTGGGGTGGCTAAAGAGGGTGCCTGGGAACCTGGAAGTGGCAGCCAAAATGGCGGGGGAGAGAGCAGGGGACCAATATCGATCCAAAACTGTTGGAGAAGGGCACACTTGTAAGGTATGGTGCAAATGTACCATAAGTTTCAAGTATTCTGTGCAAAAACTCACCTTTTAGGGCAAAAACACACCATTCTCAGAGCAGATAACTACCACTGTAAGCCATTTTTTAACATGTTATTTTAGCTGGAGTTCTGCTTTAAGTTTTTTTTATAGTCTAGACCTTTGGTTCTCAACTGGCGGGTCGTGACCCAAAAGTGGGTCGCGACCACGTGTTCAGTGGGTCACCGCATGCCTTCCACTTTTCTAGGTAAGAGGCTCCTCTTCCTCCCCCTAGCACAGCACAGAAAGCTCTTGCCCCAAGCAGCCATTCAAAATAAGCCAAGTGTCAGCTTAAGATGGGATGAGGCTATGGACGGGAGGGAGCTCCATCCATACAAGCATTGCTTACAGCTCCCTCACATGCCCTTTTGAGGTGCCTGGACCAGAGTGACATCACATTCTGGCTCCTGGCACCTCTACAGGGCGAGCAAGGGAGCTGTACAAGCAATGCACATATGGATGGAGCTCTGTCACAGCACAGCAGCCCACACTGGACCCCAGGCTGAGGATCCACTCCAGTTCTTGTAAGGTAGGGAGACTGGGTGGACCTTAAAAAAAAATACAAATGTTTTGAGTATGTATGTGTGTGTGAGAATGTCTGTGAGTGTGTGAGATTGTGTCTGTGGTTGTGTATGTATGTCAGTGTTTTTGAGGGCCCGTTTACACTAGTACAGTGTGTTAATCACATAGTAATGTGCGATTAACCCACTGTAGCACATAATCGCACCTACAATGCTTTCTGCTGCGGGAGGTGTGTTGCATTGCCATTCATTTGAATCGTATCCCAAACGCACCTCCCACCCACAGTTTGCATCAGAACGTGCAGTACCCTAATGCCTTGCATTCCATTGCGGTGCGACTTGGGTCGTGACTTAATGACCAAGGACAAATGTGGGTCCTGAGGTTACACAGTTTGAGAATCACTGATCTAGACTACTCTTTCTCAACCAGGGTGCTGTGGCCAACAACTGCATCGTGTAAATCCAAAGACAATAGCCAGCACTGCAATATGCAGAGAACAAAATACCACACAAAGTTTAGCTATGTGCTATAAGTGCTGTGTAAGTGTAGCTATGTAGTCTATTTGCTGGCTGTGTCCCCATGAGGGAGATTTGCCCACATTTCCTGTCTATGTGACGGTTTCAAAGAGAGTATGAAACAAGTAGGCACACCAAACATTATATATGATCATCAGTTATATTCAAATCATGAATATCATACATGTAAGCAGGTCATTGTGGACATGTTATAATAGAGGTGTCAGAGAGGACAGGAAGTGAAGAGAAATGAGGGAACACAGGCAGCATTTCAAATCTTACAGGGAAATCTTTCCAACAGGACACAGACAGCCGTTTAAATCTAGCTCTCAATCACCTATTTCCAGCACTATCCTACTCTAATATAAAGAATAAATAGTTGGAGTAGAGCTTTAAAAAAGGGTAGTGTCACTTGCCTGCTGTATGTTCTCTGTGACTTTCTGTAGCTGGCTTTCCACTTCTTGATGAGAGTCCTTAAGAAGACTGATCTCATGGAGCAGATCTTGTAACACTGTCATGGCCTGTAAACAGAACCCCAAAACACAAATTTATAAAAAAAAAGGTATTGAAAACATTTTGTAGAACTGACACTTGCAGGTGACCTGAACCCACTGTCTCTATATGGAGGCAACCATCTTTGTAGAGGCAGGGTTTTGCTTCCTCAGGTAAAAGCTTCCAGCAAGGAGAATAGTGAGCAGCACAGTAATAACATCACCAAATCTCACCCCAAATCTCCTAAAACTAGCAATTACAGGAAGCAATGCCTGAGATCCAATACTGCAGATATACAGCTATGAGGTTGTATGCACGGGAGGGCCTTGGTACACCCACATACCAGAAAGTGCTCTGCTATTTTTTCATGAGGAATTCAAGGCCAAGTCAATTTTCAGGGTGCTACTAAGGTACAATTAACATTTCTAAATGTTCCCTATACCATAGCAAATCTTCACTTTTTGAGTTCAGGTCCACTTTTGGGGAAATCTCAATGGGAGATCAATGGGACACCGATGGCTAAAAATGTCAGGGGTTTTACCATTCTCCACTCTATCCAAAATGTAAAAAAATGTTTGGCACAGATATAATTTAATTCAGCATACACTCAGGACAATGATGTCACAGACCATTATGGGTTGCAACAGAAGCAGTTTGCTTAAGGTGACATTCACAGCAGGGCAGAAGCATTTCAGCAGGGTTTGCACGCGATTTTTGAAGCTGAAACCCAATTGAAAACGCCCAAAAACTCGTTGATTAGCACGTTTCCATTGAAATCTATATGGAAAATGCGCTGATCATCGCAAAAAAAAGTAGCTCAGTGAGCATTTTGGGCGGCAGGCAGTTTGGATCACGAGGAGCCGCGCGATCGCATGAACGGTCCCCATATGAATGTATGGGATTGTTCATATCGGGGGTTCAGCGCGGATAAATCCGTGTGACCGAACCGTCCTGGTATGAACGTGGGCTTAAGGTTGTCTCTCTCTAATTATAAATCTAATGATGCCAAAGAAATCAAGGAGGGAGGGGAGGAAGGAAGGACGATTCACATCCCTGTTTCAGGGGCATCCCTAGCCTTTTCGCCACCTGAGGCAGCGGGGGTGTTATGCTTGTGGTGCAAGCTAATGGTGGGGACGACGACACCGGCAAGAACGTCCCACTCAGCTCATGGCAACCAGTGATGTCATCCTATTTCCATGAAGGAGGAGGAAGTAGGATTTAGTGTCAGAGGACACAGTATATGATACTAGTAGTGCGTTTGATATGAGAGCGAACCAATGTGTGACGATTAGGGGGAAGTTTGTTGTTAATGAAAGTGATATCTAGTGGTAGTAAATCAAATACTGTACAAGTGGACCTGCTGATTACCTATCTGACCTGCAAGTGGACTTGCTGATTACCCATCTGACCTCCAAGTGGACTTGCTGATTACCCATCTGACCTCCAAGTGGACTTGCTGATTACCCATCTGACCTCCAAGTGGACTTGCTGATTACTCATCTGACTTGCAAGTGGACTTGCTGATTACCCATCTGACTTGCAAGTGGATTTGCTGATTATTCCCATCCACAAGGCTTCATCAGTTTAAGCCCAATTTTTATTTTCACGTGTAATATTTATTGCAAAAGTTTTTACATTTGATTAGAAACAAGTAATTTAGACAGTGCATAGACACAATCATAGAGCACACACAAAAAAATTACATTTTTAAATACAAGTAACTGTGGTTAGGATGGTAGATATAAAGAAAAGAAAGACAAACGGGGGGTGGGTGGGAGGTTAATGAGAAGGGATTATGGCGTGCCAGTATTATATACAAAAGCAAATATGATTCAGATCATCTGAAAGACTTATGCCCTACAATAGGAAGCCTGATAGCTCCTCCAGGGACCAGAGGATCAGGCACAGAACCAGAGGCAACAGTCAATAGTAGGTAAGGGGTAGAGGAATAGTTAGGTTCTCTCCTGCTGCCCGTCTACGAAGCGAGTGTCCAAGTGGACAAGTTGGGTCAGGACTCATAGGATCCCTAGAGAGTAAATGCGTAAATGGGGAGTGGAGTAAAGACGGAGAAGAGGGTAGGGGGGAATAGAAGGGCAAGAGTTTGGAGGGGGATACAAAGTGAGTCAAGACAGAGTTAGGAGAGAGAGGTGGGTGAAGGGTTAAGACGTGTGATTTCCCACCTCTATCTGTGGTTGCCCAACACTTGATTTCCTGTCCCCTGTAACGGACATAAGGAATGCCCTGGATGGGGTGAGGAGGACTCCAGGGCCTGTGAAATCACATCTCTTAGCCCCTTAAATCGGGCCCTGCCTAAGTGTCAGGTCCATTAGGTTTTTGGAGTGTCTTAGAGTATATGTGTATAGTGTATATGTGGCATTGGATTTAAATAGGTGCCTAGGTCTGGAGGTATCAAGTCATTTTATCTTGGCTAATATGGAATAATCGAGTTCTGCAACAGTGTAGCAGAATTTTTTTCATTTCAACTTTTGGATAGAATGGGAAAGTTAGAAAAAGCCCTGTCATGTCTTCATTGCTTTTTGCAACCACACTTGAGAGATTCCTTCTAACTAGCCGTGTGGTCATTTGCACAGGAATGAATGGAAATCTCTTCAGCGAGGATACAGAGAGCAGTTTTTAAGGTTTTAGAGTGTGGGAAAGTATATTGTATTCAGGTTGATATCCCTTTTAAAGTGATTCCCCTCACTTTGTGTGTGGTCACCAGGACAGGATGTGAGGACAGTTACCATCGAGAGACACAAAAAAGTTTAAAAAAAACAGAGTTTCTAACCATGGCCCCTCTGCCCAAAACTGAAAAACAAAGTATCTATAGTTGGATTTTAATCTCATGCAATGGAGTTCCCCTTTAGGGTACTCCAATTACCACAATTCAAACAGAGGTGTTGGTTCACATTGTCTAAACACCCAGCTTTACATGAAATAAAAAGAACCCTAATTATAAATAGGTGTATGTACTAACTCTAGTTCAATAGGAATTTTAATCCCCCGGGAGAGACGTTACAAAACACAGTTTTTGCCCTGAGACGGCCTTCCCTCCAATTACACTGATTGCTAATGAGACACTGTATCTCTACCTGGGAGACTTCCCTGCCCTTCAATTGCAATGATCACATTACCCTGTATTAATTAAAGAATATACTGACTACATCGGTGTGGCTTGCTGTGGGAGTTGTTTATGTTTATTTGTTTCTGAGTTGCTAAGTGTTATAAAGCATGCTATCATGAAAATGATCTTTAAAGCTCACTGAAACTGGACCCCTAGAATCGGCACAAATAAAAACTCCAGTGTGTTTCTTTAGTGATCCGTTTGTGCTGCTTTTATTTTTAAGATAATAGCAATTGTTTTCTTTTTTTTAAAATGATGCATCACCCAGCACCCCTACAACAGCAAAAAGACATGAAATTGGGCTGGTTGTTTAAAGTAACATTAAAGTCAAATTTTGTTCCCTCCCGCCAATGTTAATGTTAGCACTTACTTTAAATGATGTCTCTTAATCCAATCTTCTTCTTTCCTGATGTTTTCATCTGTCTCTCCAGCGGTGCGGCGGCTCTCCGATCCAGCACTGACTGCTCTGTCCCTGCAGGCACTTTCGATCCAGCGGTGTCTGCATGCGGGTGCACGCGTCCATAGACTTACCTTGCGTCTCTGCTCGTCTCCCGGCCGAAAATCCGAACTGCGCATGCGCCTGCCCCAAGATGCTTTGCGGCCGCTCGATCAGTTTTAGATTCTCGGGCGGGAGCGCGCAGTGATAACACGGTAAGTGTAAACCCTGTTAAAGCGGGTTTAAAAAAAAAAAAAGTTTTGCCTATATCTACTGCTTGCTAGCAGTAGATATAGGGGGGAAAAGCGGGGGGTTTGGAACCCATTTAATGCCACGTTTGTGCTGGTTAGTGCCATTTAAATCTTCATTCTATCTCCTTTAGTTTTCAAGTTGGCAACTCTTTATTAAAGATCGCCAAAGATCACCCAACCCCTTACAACACCCAAAAGATATATAAATGGACTGGATGGTTAGTGCCATGTTTGTGTCCTGAAAATTAACATTTGTGCTTCTTTTATTTTTAATATAATAGCAATAGTTTTGTTTTTTTAAATGGGGACATCACCCAGTCCCTTGAAACACAGCCAAAAAACATGAAACCGGGCTTGTTGGTTAATGCCACGTCTGTACTGGTTTGTGCGTTTAAATCTCCATTCTATATACTTTCGTTTTCGAGTTAGTAACTATTTATTAAAGGTCACCCAGCTCCCCAGTCCGAAAGTCAATTGGTTTTGGGATTCAGATTAAGGCTCGGTTCATACCTAGGGGATTTATCGCATGGATTTTAGCAGCGCGATATCGCACAAACAAAGATTTGCATTCAAATCTATGGAAGCTGTTCACACCTTTACGATTTGTCGTGCGGCAGAAATCTTTGGGCAGATGTCACGCGATTTGGGTCCCATAGACATCTCTATGCATTGAAAACAGCGAGACAACCACACGGTTTTCAAAGCAATGCAAACAGAAACGCGTGGCAACCGTGGCAAACAGATCACCAGCTCAGGTGTGAACCTAGCCTAAGATACATTAGATAATAAAGGTGCCCATACACTGTACAATTATTGTACAAGAATCACAGGAAATCCTGCGATCGTACGATAATCGCAAAGTGTATGGAAGGCGTGCGACAGTTTCTACTGTACGGTTGCACGTCTTCCGTTGAACAAGCAGGCTTGAAAACCTGCCGGGAATCGTACGATTCTCAGCGGGTTAGTGGCCTGCTTGTTTGACAAGTGCCGAACGGGCCGGTGTGCGCACGCGCACATTGCCCGTTTGCAGTCATCGGAAGCCCACCCCTCATTGCAGTCATCGCAACCCCTCCCCTCAGGGGGGCGGGCTTGCGATGAAAGCAAGTACGATCTGCCTGTCCAAGATGGGCAGATCATACGAGCTTTTAATTAGCTTACAACCATCGCAAGACGATAGTCTTGCGATGGTTGTAAGGTATATGGGCACCTTTACATCTG